TAGCTCCTTATTGCCAAATGGTATTTATTATTCATTATTATTTAGTTAATCCAGATCGTACAATACTTAGAATATGTTAGAATCCTTTATTTGAAGCATCAGGAACACTTATCCTATAAGGACAGTTCATTAATCATTAAGGGAAAGATTTAAAACCTTTGTTTAAATCCAAAGGAAGTTGCTTTTTAGAAGACTTAAAGCAAAAGAAGTGAATTTGAATATTCATTAAAAACATTACAATTATAATTTTAATCATTTTCTTATAACTTTTTGAATAATATGTGTTTTTTGTTACTAATTAAATATTTGGATAATATTGAGATGTTAGAACAACGTTTATAAATTAATATTTATAGATGTACAATACACTATTAAATATATAATGTAAACAGAGTAAGCAGGTTTAGTCGTAATAAAGATTATTAATAGTTTAGTAAAATTTAGATCTTTAGTTTAGAAAAAGGTAATGATAATATCAGTCAACTAGTTTAATTTTATTAATTGTTTATGAAATTACAAAATTACCCAAGATTGGATTTCATAAACAAAATGGATAATGTTAAAAAAATAACAAAATTAATCTTCTCTATAACTTTGAATTTAACCCTATTAGACAATATATTTTTAGAATTAATTAAATTTATTAATATTACAGAAATGTAGATGTATTTCTCTTTAAAAAATTTAAATTACACTCTCTGATATATAAGTGAATTTAAAATAAAATTTCACAAGTCCTTTTAAAAATTAGTTCTCCTCCTTTCAATTATTGCTCCTCTATTTCTTTTCTCCACTACTTCTATTCTTCCTTTTTACCTTCTTTGCGATAAAGTTTTTTTTTTTGCGTTCAGAAGACATAAAAGTTTATGTTTTCAATAAAAGACTGCCACAAACAGAATCAGAGCCATCTAAATTTAGTAATAATCTACTCCAACAAGGATATCTTTCTATTTTAATCTAAATTTGAAATTTGGTAATTTCTATTGGCATCCCTTAATTGGATAGAGTAATCCTATTGATGCAATTTTATTGAGATCATAAACATTTGGAACATACTCAATTGGAAGGTTTAAAATTTTGAACACTCCATTTTTCATTTTGAGATAAATGTATTCCTCTAGTAAACTAGACACCAATCAAAAGTAAAATTAATAAATTTTTCTTAATCAATTATAGATCAAACTTCATTACTAAAAAATAATTTTACATTCTTCATGTTACAAGAGTTTTCCACTCAGTTGGAGAATGGATGATTAAATCTATCTATCACGTAGGAAGCTTTTTGATTAAGATGAACTCATTCACAAGTTATTTACAATTTTTCATCTCTCATCTTAAAACCTTTTTTCTGTTTGCTTTTATTTTCGGCTCAGCTGGTAACATAAATCTTACTTGTTTAAAGTAAATTTCAAAATTGAAGTTCTAAATAACAATGATTCTCTAAATTACTTGAACCTACTTTTATCAAATCAATCTCGACAGAAATTGGATTTGATAATAAAATTGCTTATTAAATTGTCTTGTAATAATCTTTACATTTTTATCTAATCATGAAAAAAATCAAAGTTGCTGTTATAATCTCCAATCAAATTCAAATCAAATTCTTTATACTAAAATCTTAAAATTATGTATTAAAAGTTCAATATTAACTTTATTTTCTTATGAGAAACTCAAAGATCAAGTATCATAAGGAAAAAGCAAAAAATGATTTGTATGAGGTTTTCTTAGATGAAGAATTTTTCAGCGTTTTGTTTGAAAGGTTGAAAAAAGGAATGGTTGAAGATTTTCAAGAATCTCTTTCAGAAAGCATGAATCAAAGGAAAGAAGCAATTTTGGAAGAATGAATGAAAGTGACATTTATTCTCAAAAAAAAATTGAAGAATTATGATGTTGATAAACAAAATTACTCCTTAGATGAATATGAAGGAATGTAACATATAATCACAAAATACCTTAAGATAAGAACAATTTTTAAATAATATCCTAACCAAAGCTGGATATAAGCTTCAAGCTAAAAGAAGGGCAAAATTCTAAATATGAAAAACATTGGACAAATGAATTAGATTTCAAGAAAAAAGTACAAATAAATAGTCTTAATTTTAAATTATAAAAATGCTGAAGAATATTTGATAAGAAATTTATATTTCCTTAATGTATTACTTGATTTCTCTGTCATTATTAGTTCAATAATCAATGAAAAGAACCAAATAATAGGGCAGAATACATACTAGGTTTTTGTTATTCAATTTGATGTCTATCTGCTTCTTTAAAATATCAACAATTCTGATATCTCTATACGATATAGTCTAAATATTTTATTTTTGAATTGAAAATCATCCTGGAATTAATTTTATAGTTATTTTTATTTTTTGATTGCAAATTTACTATCAGACCTGATTACAATTTGCTTCTAACTGTTTTTTGAAAGAATAATTCTGAATAATTTAATTTTGGGCATATGTAAAAAAAAATTTAAAAAGTCTTTGCTTTAGCACAAAACTCATTCTCAGTTAAATTTCTTGCATTAATTTATTACAATCAATAAATAAATAGACATAATTTTATACTTATAATTTAAAAGGTAATATTTTAAGGCAAGCTCAACATCTAAGATGCTCCTGAGGTCTGATATAGCGCCTAACTATATCTTTAAAATATAAAAACAAGTAGCTAAAATTTATCACAAAACTCTATGCATCCTTTTAACTCTTGATCCTATGAAAGAAGAACAAATATACTTGTAAAATTGTTTACAAGTTAAACTAATATCCAATTATAGCTTTCCCTTTCAAATCCATCCTAAAGTGCTTATAATACTGTATGTCTGATAATTAATTTAGTCTGTCTAAGAGTATCAGGTTTAAAAATCAGAAACATAGAAGCTGCATATAAAGGTGCATTAATCACAAGCACCCTCTTTGAGTATGCATAAATGCCTAGGACAACTATCAATCAATGGTTATAACAAATGACGAGAATTAATTTTGATATAATACCATTCCTGATACAAGCAGCGAATTTTTACATTTGTTTAATTACTTGAATATTAAACACAGAAAATGTGCTAGATCTTGATATTATAGTCGGTTAGGAGGATTGTAATTTCTATTCTAATAATTGCATCCATAAGCAGAATTAAGAGCTGAAGATATTTCACAATTTTCTAATTAGAGTTATCTTTACAATTTGTAACTTGTATTACAAATTAGGTTTCAAGTGTGTGCCCAGTTCTGTTTGTCAAATCCATAATAGGATGATATCTTATAGAAGGAGAAACAACAAATTTGGATGAAGTAGGTCTTAATATAAATGGAGACAAGCTCTACATATCACCAGAATCTTCGAAGGTTAAATATTAAAAAATTACTAATGTGAAATGTCCTGCATCCCATTAATAGTATGGGCTACTTAATAATATTATGCATAGTAATTCTCTATGCTATTGCGATGATTTCCCAAACACCAGCAAAGACATCAAAATATAGGTTTATTATTCTATATAAATCATTATATGTGTGCACATCAAAAATGGAGCTTTAGGTTTATGCAATGTTCCATAATTATTTGCAACTAAGGTTATCAACAAAGCAGAATAGTAAGAGGTGCTTGTGCATTTACAGTAGGTAGAATAGAACAATATTCAATTATACAATGGATCACAGATTGATGAGGTGATTTCTGCAATTAAGTAGTAAATATTTACAGATAGGTAAATAAACAAGTAGGACTAAGAAGCATCACAACTATCAATACATAGAGCAACTGAATTATAGTTTAGCCCTATTTAGATCCACATAGTAACAGTAATAGTTACAAAAGTCATACAAATAAGATTAGAACTTGCTTAAGTTATAGAAGCATGAAAATTTTCAAAGTTGCAGATTACAATATTGGTGGAATTTGGTTTAGCATGGATCACCATAACTACTTTCAATTTAGAAACTACTAAGAGGTTGAACATAAATATTGATTTTCCAAAATAGCCTAAAACTGAGCTATAATGCTGTTATGTTAAGTCAATTATCAACATTCCATCATGCGATACAACAATTGCAACATAAATAATTAAAATAAATTACTTCAAATAGATATAATGGACAAAAATTTTTGCTATGAAATCATAGGAATCAATACTTGAACCTTACCTTTTCGCAACAAGTACAATTACATAAAGATGAAAGTTCAATAAAATGCCTACCAAATGCTACATATCCTAAATGTTGTGATATCGAGCAACTTCCAGAATATTATACACCTTTTTTATTATTCTAAGTTTTTGCATACTATTGCTAGCACTTGATACCACAAAATACACAAATATCCAATAAAGGTTAGATTAATTAGGCCTTTAGGCAACATCGATTATGAAGCCGCATCAAATTGTAGTTTAATGAAAAGATGGGTAGCATATTCCACAGGCATGTTGAAAAAGAATAGTTAAGTACAAGAAACAGTTGCTATTGTCAACATAATAGCTCAAATACAATAATAATTGCAGGACACAATGTTGGCAAGCGAGATCAACATGTGTTATTCGATATAGGGTAGAAGAAGCTTATTAATTACTACATATAGTTAAGGTGATTAAGATGGTGAAAAATCTCACCTGAAAGACCATGGTAGCAAGGTTAAAGCTATATTGTTAATATTATATCAATTAGGGATTGCCTGCTATTCCTGCTATAAGGAGCACAACTCTCAAAATATAGTATAGAGATTTGATCAGCACTACAAGAGCAACCTGTGTGTATTACTGACAGAATGAAGTCTTCTTTACGAATGCTATTCATTAATTCAAGAAATAAGTATTGTTCCAGAGTTAAAAGGAGAGATTACTACTTTTTTATATTTAGATGAATTTTTTAAAGGATAACTCAAAGTCTCAATAAACTGTGGATAATATGAAAAGAAAAGAATGGTTCAAAGCAAACACGGTTCCAATTTCGAACTTGATATCTAAGCAAATATCAATGATTTTCTAAAAAACAACCTAAGAATTATCAATTTAAATGGAATGATGAAGAGAAATATTCGCTTAAAATAAAGAACTTAAAGCTTTGTATTAGAAATAATGAAATAATTAATTTATTCTGCTTTAGTAATTCTTATGAATTTAAATTACAAAAATGAAACTGTTTCTTTACTTACGAAGGATAATTAAAATAAATAAATCAATTTATTTGTCAGAAATCTAAACTATAGTTCTTTAAATTAACCTCTATATAATGAATACTTTTGTTATGAACAAAAATTTCAAATTATTGAATATCAGATTTTTCAATCTTACAATCTATAAAGAATTCCAAGATTTAGTGGAAAAATAGTATTTGATGTAAAATTATACTTCAATAAACAACTTTCTTAGTACTATTTCAAATCAATTACAACTAAATCAGATTAATATCAATTATCTAATTTATCCTTCATGAATTATAAATCAAAGTTCTTCTTTGAAGTTGAATTATCATTATATAAAAAATCAAATACAGAAAATTTTTGTGCATAATACTCTATATTTGCCTACATTTATATAATACATACAATTATGATATAGTTAAGATTTTATTAATGAAATGTTGATTGGCAAATCAAGAACTTTGAGTTGATAAGCCCTGATTATAGAGTAAAAAGGGTTTTTAAATTTTAATGCCTAAAAGCTTAACATTATATAATCAAGATGATATCATCAAATCTTAATTTAATGTCATCGTCAGATAGATATAGTTTAAATTATTTTTTAATTATTTTTTTTATGTAAAAAACATTTTTGGTTTCAGGGTTGACACTCCTTTTAAGCACAATAGGTTACATCCAAAATCAATAACCCGTTGATAATGTCTCCAGGGCGTTTGAAAGATTTAAGATGAGATATTTAAAATCTTACGAATTAGCTGAAGAAGCTTTTAGAAGAGCCATATTTGAATAGAACTATGCAAAAATTTTAGCTCACAATGCTGACAGGAAATTTACATACTTAGCTGATATTAATCAATTCACCGATTTGACTTAGGATGAATTTGTTGCTATCTATTTGACCTATACCCCACCTATGGGATGGTAACCATCTGATGAAGAAGTCGTGTAAGAAGGTCTTATACCAAATGAAAAAGTTGATTGGAGATCAAAAGTTCGTGTTAAGAGCCAAGAAAGTTGCGGAGCTAGTTGGGCCTTTTCTGCAGTTGGTGCTGTAGAAGCTTTCTTTAAAATCACAAAAAATCTAGATTACAATTTATCTGAATAATAATTAATTGATTGTGATAAGGCTAAAAGCAAAGGATGTAATGGAGGTTATCCAGATTTGGCTATCAAATATATTTCAACTAATGGAGTAGAACCTGAAGATCACTATCCTTATAGGGCTAGAGATTTAGCATGTGCAGCTATAACAGGAAGATATAAAAATTCAGGTGTTTAAAGCATTCCCAATTCAGGTTTAATAGTCGCAATAAAGGAATATCCAATTTCCGTTTGTGTTGATGCCACAAATTGGAGTAACTATAGAATGGGAGTTTTTAATAACTGCAACAAGAATATCAATCATGCAGTTCTGGCAGTAGGTTATGATGCTTCAGGTAATTGGATCATAAAGAACTCTTGGGGAACAAGCTGGGGAGAAAATGGTTTTATGACTTTAAAAGCAGGAGATACTTGTGGTGTTACTTAAATGGCTGTCAAAGCAATTTGAGTTTTTTTCCATAAATTTAAATAATAATAATCATAAAAGTATACACAAATTTTTATAAGGCTTGTTTATATAATCAAAAAATTTAAATGAGCTCTTCTATCTCTATAAAATACATCTTTGTTTGCAATATCTTCCACAAAATTTATTGATAGATAAAATGTACTTTTGATGCTCCTAAAAAGTCATAAAATAATTTATCAGCTTTTATAAGCCATCGATGCCATTCTGTTATATTTTCTTATTCCTATTATGTTTCTTTTAAAAACGCAGGATTTTTGTTAATATATTTTTTCGATTCGCAATATTCACATATGTATTTCAAATCACTTCAGGATAATTTTGTATTCATGTGATTACTCGAATGTTTAAATTAACCCTCTGTAATGACAAGCTTAAGATTTCTCTTCAATTTCTTTATTGAAAATAAAATATTGCAGATTCACTTAAAATCCTAAAACTCTTATTGAAAGATTAAACTTGGATGAATTAGCATAATTAATAGATTCAAAAGCAACAAACGGATTATCTCTACCTATATCTAAACTCCTATACATAAAAATGATTTAAAAGTTCTCAGCTTTTAATGATTTGGTCATTTTCTTTCATATATAATTTTTTTCCCTTATTATTTTAAAATAGATATCATAGTTTTCACGAAATAATTTTTTACTTTGTTCTTCACTTTCAATTCTAAGATGAATATTTTAAACTTAGTTTCAATAATATCAAAATTTAAGCCCAAGTATTAGCTCAAATGTAATTTTACCCCAATTTTAGAAGTCATATTTTATTTTATAATAATTGCTAATTATAAATCTTCTATTTAAACTATTAACTCAAAAAATTTATGTAGATTTTTTAAAGTATATCACTTATTCAAAATTAATTATAGTTGTAAACTTTCTAGGATATATAAAATTCCTTTACAACTTATTTAATCAAAATTATTGGAAATATTGCTTGGGTTTCCAAAACTAGCTAAATCTGAAAAACTAATTGTTACAAGCAGATATCTCCTTGTTTTAGGAACATTTATTTGAATAATCCAAACATCTATAACTAATGACTGTACCTACCATATCCTGTTGGTCTACACTTCAAATTACATAATTAAGAATTTTTCACACCAATTAGAAATTTTCGATGAATCATAAAATAATTCAAAAAGAAACAATTATGATATCTTATAATAAATTTAAGCTATTAAATAATATAGATTTCCTTTTTGAGACTTAGGCGAATCATTTATTACAAAGCCATTATATCCATCACTATTTAAAATATTTGGATATTAATGAAGATTTAAAATAGCAAATAATTTAAAATTCATAAAAGGAATGAATGATAGTATTTGAGAATTCAATTACATTCTAATGATATCTAGAGACTTTAAGTTTCCAAATTTATTAACTTATTCAAAATTAAATGAATAAGACTTAATTGTTAAGATAAATTAAATTTACACATAGCCCGTTTTAGAACCAAAGGATTCAGCTGCTTAATGTATAAGCTGGAAATAAAATCAAAACCTTGGTCTTCTCCTGAAGCTGAAAATTCCTAATGCTTCTCATAAAGCCCATTTTTGTGGCTTTGTAAATATGAAAATGAGTTGATGACTTTTTAAGAAACAACAATCCATTTTTAATGAATATTATTCTGATACCTCCTACATCTACTTAATTCTTCAGACATATTTATAATTTGCNCACATATGTATTTCAAATCACTTCAGGATAATTTTGTATTCATGTGATTACTCGAATGTTTAAATTAACCCTCTGTAATGACAAGCTTAAGATTTCTCTTCAATTTCTTTATTGAAAATAAAATATTGCAGATTCACTTAAAATCCTAAAACTCTTATTGAAAGATTAAACTTGGATGAATTAGCATAATTAATAGATTCAAAAGCAACAAACGGATTATCTCTACCTATATCTAAACTCCTATACATAAAAATGATTTAAAAGTTCTCAGCTTTTAATGATTTGGTCATTTTCTTTCATATATAATTTTTTTCCCTTATTATTTTAAAATAGATATCATAGTTTTCACGAAATAATTTTTTACTTTGTTCTTCACTTTCAATTCTAAGATGAATATTTTAAACTTAGTTTCAATAATATCAAAATTTAAGCCCAAGTATTAGCTCAAATGTAATTTTACCCCAATTTTAGAAGTCATATTTTATTTTATAATAATTGCTAATTATAAATCTTCTATTTAAACTATTAACTCAAAAAATTTATGTAGATTTTTTAAAGTATATCACTTATTCAAAATTAATTATAGTTGTAAACTTTCTAGGATATATAAAATTCCTTTACAACTTATTTAATCAAAATTATTGGAAATATTGCTTGGGTTTCCAAAACTAGCTAAATCTGAAAAACTAATTGTTACAAGCAGATATCTCCTTGTTTTAGGAACATTTATTTGAATAATCCAAACATCTATAACTAATGACTGTACCTACCATATCCTGTTGGTCTACACTTCAAATTACATAATTAAGAATTTTTCACACCAATTAGAAATTTTCGATGAATCATAAAATAATTCAAAAAGAAACAATTATGATATCTTATAATAAATTTAAGCTATTAAATAATATAGATTTCCTTTTTGAGACTTAGGCGAATCATTTATTACAAAGCCATTATATCCATCACTATTTAAAATATTTGGATATTAATGAAGATTTAAAATAGCAAATAATTTAAAATTCATAAAAGGAATGAATGATAGTATTTGAGAATTCAATTACATTCTAATGATATCTAGAGACTTTAAGTTTCCAAATTTATTAACTTATTCAAAATTAAATGAATAAGACTTAATTGTTAAGATAAATTAAATTTACACATAGCCCGTTTTAGAACCAAAGGATTCAGCTGCTTAATGTATAAGCTGGAAATAAAATCAAAACCTTGGTCTTCTCCTGAAGCTGAAAATTCCTAATGCTTCTCATAAAGCCCATTTTTGTGGCTTTGTAAATATGAAAATGAGTTGATGACTTTTTAAGAAACAACAATCCATTTTTAATGAATATTATTCTGATACCTCCTACATCTACTTAATTCTTCAGACATATTTATAATTTGCCATTGGATATAGATTAATTATTATTATTTTTTTGTCTCATCCGCACGATATTAATATTTTTTTATTTTCACTTATAGATAATTCTAAAACAATATCAGTATGTTCACAAATGATTTTGGTGAATGACCAATCATTTTTCATATTTTGATATTTCAACACTTTAATAGTTTTATCGCAATTTCTAGAGATAAAAAGTTCTTCATTTTGTAAAATTAAAAGTTCGCATAAGAAGCATGCCCTAACCAAATAAATTAAGCACTCCATTATTTTTATTGAATCTGACTTTACTCTAATTTGTTCGGTGACCATATAATGATTTTTCCATCAAACGAACCAGAGATAAATTAATCATAATTCTCATTTTTACCATAAAATTTAACTTACTTACTGAGTTTGTGTGATTCTTTATAGAATTTTTAGTTAAATAAAATCGAGTTCCTTTTCTAAGAACATTTAATATTATATGTTCTCAATATATGGTAATTGGATTATTTTGATAGCTGAACATATTGCAACTATAGAACATTTTTCTAATCCTCAACGTTTTTTTTTGTTGTCGTTTAAGTAAAGGTGAATTTTTGTTTTTTAATTTTTTTACTTACTTTGGAAATNAATTATAAATCTTCTATTTAAACTATTAACTCAAAAAATTTATGTAGATTTTTTAAAGTATATCACTTATTCAAAATTAATTATAGTTGTAAACTTTCTAGGATATATAAAATTCCTTTACAACTTATTTAATCAAAATTATTGGAAATATTGCTTGGGTTTCCAAAACTAGCTAAATCTGAAAAACTAATTGTTACAAGCAGATATCTCCTTGTTTTAGGAACATTTATTTGAATAATCCAAACATCTATAACTAATGACTGTACCTACCATATCCTGTTGGTCTACACTTCAAATTACATAATTAAGAATTTTTCACACCAATTAGAAATTTTCGATGAATCATAAAATAATTCAAAAAGAAACAATTATGATATCTTATAATAAATTTAAGCTATTAAATAATATAGATTTCCTTTTTGAGACTTAGGCGAATCATTTATTACAAAGCCATTATATCCATCACTATTTAAAATATTTGGATATTAATGAAGATTTAAAATAGCAAATAATTTAAAATTCATAAAAGGAATGAATGATATTTGAGAATTCAATTACATTCTAATGATATCTAGAGACTTTAAGTTTCCAAATTTATTAACTTATTCAAAATTAAATGAATAAGACTTAATTGTTAAGATAAATTAAATTTACACATAGCCCGTTTTAGAACCAAAGGATTCAGCTGCTTAATGTATAAGCTGGAAATAAAATCAAAACCTTGGTCTTCTCCTGAAGCTGAAAATTCCTAATGCTTCTCATAAAGCCCATTTTTGTGGCTTTGTAAATATGAAAATGAGTTGATGACTTTTTAAGAAACAACAATCCATTTTTAATGAATATTATTCTGATACCTCCTACATCTACTTAATTCTTCAGACATATTTATAATTTGCCATTGGATATAGATTAATTATTATTATTTTTTTGTCTCATCCGCACGATATTAATATTTTTTTATTTTCACTTATAGATAATTCTAAAACAATATCAGTATGTTCACAAATGATTTTGGTGAATGACCAATCATTTTTCATATTTTGATATTTCAACACTTTAATAGTTTTATCGCAATTTCTAGAGATAAAAAGTTCTTCATTTTGTAAAATTAAAAGTTCGCATAAGAAGCATGCCCTAACCAAATAAATTAAGCACTCCATTATTTTTATTGAATCTGACTTTACTCTAATTTGTTCGGTGACCATATAATGATTTTTCCATCAAACGAACCAGAGATAAATTAATCATAATTCTCATTTTTACCATAAAATTTAACTTACTTACTGAGTTTGTGTGATTCTTTATAGAATTTTTAGTTAAATAAAATCGAGTTCCTTTTCTAAGAACATTTAATATTATATGTTCTCAATATATGGTAATTGGATTATTTTGATAGCTGAACATATTGCAACTATAGAACATTTTTCTAATCCTCAACGTTTTTTTTTGTTGTCGTTTAAGTAAAGGTGAATTTTTGTTTTTTAATTTTTTTACTTACTTTGGAAATTTATTCATGCATGAAAAGTCATTTTTCTAGATGTTTACAAACATTATATTACTTCATTGAAAAAGGATATATTTCAATTCACAATTAAGAAGAAAATGATTGGATGTTGCAAGGCTTATCAATTTAATTTATAAAACATTAACCCATAATTATAATAAATTACCAAGGTAACCATAATCAATACTAAACCCTCTCAAAATACCATTTAGTATAGTTACATATGCTATAAGACCTAATGAAAATCCAGTATTTTAATTAATAATAGAATCTGAGAAGATATAGTAAGAAAACAGTCAATAAGAAAATAAGTAATAATAACAATTAATAGGCTTTGCTGGATGACTAATTTAGAAGATTGCTTGATTAAATATAATAATATGGAATTTATATTAGCACAATTGGATCAAGGATAAATATTTATTTTAAACTTTTCGTAATTTTTTATTTTTAATTATAATAACTAATTTAAATATTTTCATTCATATTGTATTTTATAAGTTTCATACTTGTTCTCCCTACTTCCCCAATATACTAAATATTCTCCTTTGTTTGTTACAGTACCATAACTACCTTAATTTTAGTAATCCAATTATTGAATAATTGACAATTTTCCTTTTTCTTCTATTTTTAGTATGCAAATATGGAATATATGTCTTAAGCATAAAAGATTCTTATCTCTATTATAAATGATTGGGAAGAATGGCCAATTTGCTTATGCTTAATTATCTTTCTAGAATTAAACTCTATTCTCTATATTTTCTTGGTATACACCATCAGTACTTTCAAAAACACAAACATAATTGCTCTTATGAGCTAACCAGATGAATTAATTTTCGTTTAAGAATTTAACATGCTTTCCTTATTCTTATAAAGAATTGGTAACAACTTACTAAAAGTTCCACTAATTATTTTCTCCTTTCCTCCAAATTATAATTGTCCCATCAGATCCACAAGAAACTAAATCTTACCCTGAATCATTTAAACTCAATGATACAACAAAGGCAGTAAGCTTCACTAAAGATTAAAGAAATTACAATTTGTTTTCATTGAAATCTACCATCCATACTTTAATTGATTAATCAATACTACCTGAAATTAATTAATCCTCTTTTTCTGTTAAAATCAAACAATATATAGGATCTTTATGTTCCTCTTATGCTTAGAAACTTTGCCATTGATTGTTATTCTATTCTTTCCATAATCTAATTGTATTATCGCTAGCTCCAAATAGGAAGCAGTTCTGTACTTTGCTATATACTAGACAATAAATATTCTCTTTATGTCCTTATAGTGTATTAATTAAAGTGATTTTTCCCTGTTCAAAATTCCACATTTTGATGTTATTATCACTAGTTGAAATCATTATCTTCCCTGTTGGATCAAAAGCGATAGCTTTGCACTTCTCTTGTTATTCTGTTTAATCATCAATGAGTACTAATTTAGTTGGGCCTGATGCTTTTTATTGAGGTAGACAGTCTGATTCATTTATTTAGTTCAAAATTTCTTGACACTTTTGATATTGTGGGTATTATTGAAATGATCCTAAATATAACTTAAATTTATTGCTCCAAGCATTGTTTATTTTTGTAATCTAATTAGTTAAATTCAGCTTTTCATTCTGTTCTATTTTTTAATTTGGTATTATTGAATTTAACTCCTTGAAGAACCTATACTTATTTTGACCTTAATATGCGGATTATAAATTCTAAACCCAATCGTTTGTATTTCCTATTAATTGATCCAATAATTAAACAAGATATGACTTCAAAGCGATTATTTGATTATATAACGATTCAACATGTCTGAGATCTCCATCAATCTTACTTTATAAGAACTCCACAATATTCTTTCGATTTTCTTCAATCATTAGAACAGCCTTCTTGAATCCAAAAAAATTTGAAGATGGTTCAATAAAATCACTGCATTGTTAACACAAGAGCCTTTAATTTAACTCTAACTAAGAATCCAGATTAACCAATATTGCAGGTTATTTATGAAGGCTACATACAAGATCATTTTCATTTTCTATCATTTACATTTTAATAAATTATATTTCTAACAAAACAATTCATAATTTTTTCCCTAGAATGAAGATATCATGAATAAAAATAAGAGAATTCAATCGCTCTTTATTAAATATACTTATATAGAGATATAAAATTAATCAAAATTGTTTTAAGAAGTAAAACTTAAATTATTATTCTCCAAATATTCTTTACTTATAAAAGCTTTCTTTCAATAGGTATTAGAAAATAATAGAAAAAGAACGATCTTATATTTCAAATAAACTAGTTTTTTTTAATTTAACAATTCATCAGCTTAGACTATATAGTAATTCAATTGTTTAAAAGTTCATAAAATCATATTATTATTTTAGTATGTTTTATATGAATTATCTCATTACAATTAATTAACTTTGTTCACATCATGAAAGTTTGTTCAAGATATAAAAATTCATAATAAAAAATGTTTTAAATTTGATCTGACTTATTTTAACGATTTTTTTTCAGTTAGTCATAGATATGATTCATTAAATTATAAGCCACCACTTTCCTTAAAATTTAATTGTAATTGTGATATAATTATATATATGGATTATACATATTCATTAATAATATTATAAAAATGTCATCTTAGAAACTTATCAAATTTAAAATACATCTCATTGGTTATCCTGGGTAGCATTTTCTATTATTTTATTTAGTGTTGGCAAATCAGCTATAACCAAATAATTTATTGATTCCAAATTTGATATCATAACATAATCCATAGGTCTAGGTATGGATATTAAAGAAAAGAATGTTATTATTAATAATGTATTTGTTACTCTTTAAGTAAAAACAAAATTTGCATTAGATTTGGGATGGGCCAGGTAATGAAAGATTTTAAAACGGTCTGGTTTATCGAAGATTGGATTGCTTGATTATAGTCTATGATAGCTACGATTAGGATCCAGTAAAAACTCTGGAGTATTGGAATAAATTGTAATAAAAGTTAAGCAAAAGTGAAGATAAAGAGTAATTTTCAATTTTTGTTATCAAAGTTAATAAAAATGATATTGTTGAGAAAAATGAAATATTGAAGAGTATATCTGTTTTAGAGTGGTGTAAATAAAATAGAATCAAATAATTTTTTAAAGTATCCTGCTAGGACAATCTAATAATTAATGAAACATTTACAGAGATTACAAAGATCTTATTAAGATAAAATTTGAAATAATTGAGTACAAAACATTTAACAATTAATTTATTTGATGATTCTTCTAAAGTTACAACATCATCTCAAAACACAATTATGAAATCATAACTAAAATGCAATATGTAAGAAAGATTTGAGTCAATTCGATGTTACAATCAGCATGATTGTCCGCCAAGTATTGTACTTCTTGATAATAATCTTAAAGGAGTCAAAAGGTTAGCTTGTTCATAATGCATTAATGAAATAAGTGGACGGTTTAATGGCATCAATATAGTTGAAGCAATTAAAATAATAGAAGAATGTAAGAATAATTTACTTGATGTCGTTTCCGATTCTAGCCAGAATATTGTTAGCCTTTTAAATTGTTTAATTGAACAAATATTATAATAGAAAGCTTTAATTTTATAGTAAATGGATTAAATGATAAATTAAGTTAAAAATTGGATTGATGAGATTAAATAGTTTGAGATAAAGTAGTGCTCATACAGCTTTATTGATGAAATTGATTAATTGAATATATCTATTGAAATTAAAAGAAATAAATAAGTTTAGGAACTTAGTTAAATAATTGATAATATTACCTAATCCTATGAAACAAAAATATAAAATACAAATTAATAATTACAAATACACTTTTAAAGGACATAAAATATATTAAGAGTAATTTCATCTGGCGCTTCTTATGAGGAATTGAATTTATTTAGAGAATGTAATTTAGCACAAGTTAAAGCATTCAATTAGTTAGATTATAAGTTAGTTTCAGAAGTTAGAAAATAGGGATAGTGCCATGCATTAGCATTTAATCATAATCAAACTATTATGGCGGCTAGTTTAAACAAAAACATAGTAATATGGAATTTTTCAAAAGGATAGCTATTAGATAAAAAGGCTAGCTTATAAGATCATGAAAAACAAATAAAATGTATTGTTTTTAGTAAAAAAAATAATTGGTTGTTCTCTGGAAGTGAGGATAACACAATTAGAAGCTGGAAAGAAAAAGAGACTTGGTTTAGTAATAGTAAATGGGAAAGCAGTAAAGCAGACAAAAAACATACAAATTGGGTAATATAATTACTTTTAAATGATTAAGAAAATTAATTAATATCTTGTAGTATAGATAAGACAGTTAAAATCTGGAAAATTTAATATGATTAAAATTCTATTAAGTTAATTTAGTCTCTTGAGAAACATTAAAAACCAGTTTTATCAATCAGTTTAAATTAATCTCAGTAATAATTTATATCTTGGGGTGAAGACAAATAAGTTATTTTATGGGAAAAAAACTTAGAATAAAAATGGTAATTTAAGAATATTGTTCTCTTATACAATTCAATTTAAGGAATTAATATAAGTGTTAGATTCCTTATGGGTCAATAAATTATATGCAAAACATATAATGGATAGATAGAAATGTATAAATTAACAAAAGATGAATATGAAAGACATCAAGTATTAGATTTTGATGTTTAAAATTCTGATGAGAACTAATAAGAATCTTAAATAATTTATAATATTTAAACTGAATTAATAGTAATTCAACACAATAAATGTTTTTATTTTTTCAGATATTCTTTCGATGATTGCAAATTGTAATAAGTTTGTTAACCATTGCAATACGAGTAGGAAGTTTGCTTTTTTGATATTACATATGATGGAAAATACTTTGTTGTATGGATGTAGCATCCTCTATTCAAATTTAGAATATATGAAATGAATTATATTCAAATATAATGATGAAAATAAATAATGGTTTTATTAATATCTAGATTTGAATTTTTTAAACTAAGCAAAATAAAACAAGGATACATGATTTTACTTAAAAGTCTTTGAATTTATCATGTGGTTGTCAGTACTATATGATTATACTTCCTATTTGGAATGAATTTTCTGCATATCTCATAATTTTATTGATAAATAAAGTAATATCATTTTATATCTCATTCAAGAACAGATTAAATTATATTAAATGTATATTTTCAATATTTTTATTTAATTAATTATATAAAGTTTAATTTTTATAAATAACACATATATAAATATTCTTAGAGTAATAAATTTAACTATAAAATATAGATGCCTAATATCATTTTTTATTATTTTCATATTCTTCAACATTATTAAAAAATAATTTTTCAACCCCTATTCTGCTTGATTTTGTACTTAAAATTCTTGAACTTTATGGTGATATTAGGTATCCACAAGTTATATTTGTCAATATTTACTTTGAATTTCTTAATTGTACTCTAGATAAAAAGATTAAATGGTTTTTCAATTTGGTAAAATTACTTTTTAATTTTTATTATTTTAATTTTTCTCTTTCCAAAGACCTTCCCAAAATTTAGGCGAAATATAAATTTGGTACTTTCGAAATAAGAAAAAAATGCAATTTATTCAAATAAAAGAATTAATACTTCTTGACATAGCTTCTTGCAATACCAAAAATAAATGGATAACAAAGTTTTATAAAGCATCCAATAATAAAAATTTGAATCATAATAGAAGGGGAGATATAATTCTTTTGTTCACAAATAGTTTTGGTTAGTGCTAAGAAAATAGAGATTGAGCAAATCTGAGCTGTTTATAAGTCTAATGAATTATATTTTTATAAATTGAATGGCTAATGGAAAATTGCCAAGATTTCATATATTAACAAGCACAATCCTAATAATGATGCTTTTAAGACAATCTCAGTTTCAAAGTTCGTCATTATAAAAATTATGACAGATTTCTTAAATAGTTTGATCAATTCCCAGTAATACCTTTCTTATTTATATTCATTCAACAAATAGCAAATATGTTTTCTTAACTTAATTTTATCTAATTTTTATCTATTTAGCCTCAACAGAATAAAAATTAAAATAGGAATGAGTATTCCAATTATAAATATTCCAGGAATAATAAAATAATAAACCCACTTTAAATGAACTTAAGAACCATATTTCAATGATACATCTCCTTAAATGTAATTTTGATTTGATACTTCTCGTTTCGAAAGTACAGATGAGAATCTTTTCATATTTTAAATATGTACATTTTAATCAATCCTGCATAGTTAAATACATATAAATAGAGTGCACTATTTGAGAGGATACTTATATCATACCTTTGTTTGGTTATTAGTGTATGCAAATATTATCCTGCAATAATGAGATTAAATAGAATAATCATCAATATTAGCATTGTGAATATTTTTAATTATACTATAGGAATACTTTGAATCGAAGATATATAACAGTCTAAATCTTTGGCTATGAAATATGAAGTGTCACTAGTTTATTCTATAAAAAGAAGTGAAAATGAAAATCTGATGTTAAATGTAAAGATAACTGAATAGATCCACAAATAATTTATCAACATTTTTAATTATATACTCTCCTGATCTAACATTTACTAATTTATTTACCTTAATTTAGTTTAAACAATATTTTGCTAAATCTTTATGCAATTATGAGTTATGAATATAGTTGATTAGATTTAGAGATACTTCTTAAAGACATCGAGATCGATATATACGTCCTACAATTAATAACAACCATTATACCATAGACATATTATCATAGTTGGAAATATGCTGGTCCAATCAAATTAGCATTCTCTGCAATTTTAGTCCCATTAGTTTTTATAAAAATTACCTTATCCTCTTATACCATATATATCACATTCTTCACATAATGCCCCTATGTGTCCAACACTACATATGTGATCTCCAACCTACCATCCACCGATACAAAAGAATTCATTTTTGAAACAAGGTTCTACATAATCAGAATAATTATTAGGTCTCCAAACTCCTGGAAGTAATTCAATCATATTTGAAGTAATATTCGAGTACTTGCCTTTATCAAAAATAGAACACTTTGTAGCATTGTATGTAACTGAATAATACCCCTAATTTGATTAACAGATTTGACAACCATTATCAACGTAAAATTCACCAAGCTGACATTTTAGACTCTTTGCATATATCCTATATTTTAAAGTATCTTATTATCCTTTTAGTGAACAACTGATATCTATTTATAAATAGTGATAATCTAATTTATATGGATCCAAACTAAATGATAATGATCCAAAATCGAAAGAATTAGTTTGAATATCAAAAATCAAAATTTTCTGAACCTCTTTGTCTATAATCTTATTTTTGTCTGAAGTTATTCTCTTACCCTTAACTATGCAAGTTGAATTGATAAAATTATGCATTATTTCGTTTCTGCTGTTTTTATAAGTTAAACTAATATCTTTAATAAATGGCAGATATTTTGATTAGCGAATGTCAAAAATTTAAAAAGGTTTTATCACTTAATTACTTGGAATCAATAAGTCTTTCATGACAATTTAACGACCTTATTCAATCATTCGGTATGTTTTTAAATTCAATATATTTATCGACTAATTGTTATTAGTTACAGAATATGAAGGATTCTCCATTTAATTGATATAAAAAGCTAAATGTGTTGGGTTCTCTCTAACGTTATTTCCATATTCTTAAGCACTATTGAAAAGTACCTAGGACTATACAAAATTATTTTTATTTAGATTGCAGTTACCCTCAAAATATATACCGCCTCCTATTCTAGCTATATTTGCAATAATGATTGATCTATTTACAATCAAGTCAGCAGAATCAATTTCCATATATAAACCACCTCCAAAATCCTAGGCTTTGTTTTTAATCAGTTTGCATTGTTTAATGGATAGACTCACTTTTTATGTAAATATACCAATACCTTGAGTCCCATTATTGAAAAGGAAATTAGAATTTTTAATCAATACTTTTTATTTATAATAGGTATTCGATGAGAAATGTAGACATCCAAACTTATTGATTTTATTATAATTGCAATTAAAGTTATCAAGCTTAATAAATTGAATATTTGATAATTCAAAAAAGACTAAGCCATTTTAACACTATTAACAATTATTATGCTCAAAAGTAATATCTTGAAAGTAGATTCCATTTGAATTTGAAATACTTTTAATATAAATGAATGAGCCTCCTTCTTTATTATCATTCTATTGAATAGAATTAACATAAGATTAAAAATAACCTTGTTAAAAAGTCTAATTAAATTGTTAAACTATTTTACATCCTCGTATTTTGTACATGATTTAAGAGTAGGTTAAGTAAGATGTCAAATTATTTTAATACAGCTAAATATTTTTGATACTTAGATTTTCAATAACAATCATAGATTTTATTTGTTATAATTACATAACTGAAATTAGATTGAATGAATACAATACTGAGATTTTGTCCAATTTAACATTGTTTAATTTTAGTTTTGGTAAATTCACAAAATAGAAAATAGAATTAATGATGATCCCTTCAATGACAAAGTCTTCAATCAAGATAATGCAATTTTGAAATGAAATTAAAGAATTTTAATTATTTATGGTTTCTGTAACTTCTTAAGTGAATAAATCCCGAACTTTAGTAAAATAGTCAATCCATACTTACTAATTTTAAATAATTCGTATATTTTTTATAGTTACTATATTTTTAATAGCTATCAATGATGAAAATTATACATTTATTATTTAATTTATCAATGAAACACAATTTAATATATTTGTATCTTATAATAAAATGATATTTTGTGATTTTGAAGGAGTAATAGTAAGTATCAAAGAAGCCATCCTATTAAAAATGTTTGATAAAAAAGCATTTACCAACCTAAGATTTAATTTACTATTTGATGAATAAATGCTAAAGCACCCTGAGCCTTTTTCAGTTGATTAGAGATTATTTTCCACTTGATCTATTGTAATATTTTATAAATCTATATAACCTGCTTCTGTAGTAGTGATTTCAAAAATTAAGCTTTAAGCTGCAAGAATTTTAGAAAATGAGCAATCTATGCAAGATAAACTTTAAACTAAAAATGATCCTGCTCCTCCAATATTCTTTATCTATAAAATTTAGAAAACGATTTCATTTAAATTATCTTAATTAAGATTGTCTTTGAATTAAAGTTCATAATAATTAACCCACAAATCTTATGATATAAAATTGTGGTTATTAATTGAAAACTTAGATAGCATAACATGAGCTGACATTATTGTTATTAAGGAATTTGAAGAATTAGTGAGTGCATTATTTTTACTATGAAAATTCTCTACTTTTAGTTAACTTAATTAAGATTAAATGTATAATAAGCTGACTGTTGTCATTACCGCACTACTGGAATAAGAATGTAGAAAGTTTTCTTCATATAAAATATTTTCTAGTAGAATGCTCTCTCTATATTCTGATTATATTATTAACATAGAAATTTGATTAACTAAGGTTGATTAGATGAGAATGTTTTGAGTAAATGTAATATTAACCATCTCAACCTAACTCATACCATATGATAAATTTTAATAACTTGGATTGATCTAAATTAATGGTTCGTCAACACTCACAATTTTCGAGATGTGTAAATTCTTGATTTAAATAGTAGTAAATCCAGAAACATAAAGGAAATTATTTTTCTTGTTTGTGGTTAAACACGCCTATGATAAAGGAATTTTAAAATTCTGGATTGTGTTCTAAAATATTATATTCGAGATAAGTATGTTCTTATTTTCAGACAATTAAAATATCATCAAATCGTCATTATCACTTATAATAAAATTTGATATGTGAATTTCTTAACTATTTATGCAAAATAATTGATTGCTTTCATTATGACTAGAACATCTGCTATTATTTAATATTTTGAATTAGTAAAATTGAATTAAGAGGTAATTTGTTGATAAAGTTGAAAATATTAAAATTAAGTTGGATCCTTAAAATTAATTTTGAATAGCTTCGAAACTTGTAATATTACATTAAATATGATTCCTTAATTATATCTAATTAATTGATAAAAATTAAGAAAAAACAAATATATTTTGATAAATACTTATCAAACTCATTGCAATATTATAATTAATCTATATCATAATAGAGTTGTCCATAAGGTTCAAACTCAATTGAAAATTGAATAAACTTACTTCAATTAAAAAAGTACTATTTATCAAGTAGGAATTGTAAAATTTATTATTTATTATCATTGTATTCAATCCAATTAAAGTTCTTTAGTTTGGATGATTGCTCTCAAAACTAAATATTGATGATTTTGTTAATTTGCATTACTCCATATAGAGATATTTATAGGATAATAAGGATTCAATTTAAGATAATTTAAAGAATGCCGATTCTATAAACGTACAATTTTTAATTTATAAATTTGTTATTATAATTGATCCCAACATTTAAAATGATTTTAAATTAAACAATGAGGAATTGATAAAGATAGTGTCTATTATAGTAATATTATTCAAAGTTATATTGCCAAAAACTTCTGTTTAAAATAATGAATCAATATTCTAAAGTATACTCTAATTTATGGTAAAATTTTTAAGGATCAAATCAAATTAGTTATTATTATTATAAAAGATAAAATGCTAATCTGAATCAATTACAAATCCTAAATTGCTAAACTCAACTTAATCAAAATTGTTGAAAGGATTAGAAGTAAATGATGTAATTTCTAAATATTTTTGTGATGAGAATTTAAAATTGACTCTTTTTAAACTAAAAACTTTTTTTTTTAATTCAGTTTGAATAGTGAATGGAAGAATTAGAAAACATTATTAGTCTGAGATATTTAATACTAGTTCAATAGACAAGATTTCTATTCCAATTTAATTGCAATAATCTGTATTGATTTTTGACTCATAAAATCTATTAAATCTTGAAAAATCACATGATTAATATGGAATATCTAAGAAAAAATGATCTTTGCAATCTTTAGTTAAACAATACCTCACACTTTATAAGTAAGGGTCATAAGAAAAGGAAGGATCATAGTAAGGTTTAATACATTTCTTAGTATAGATTTAGTTTTGATTATCAACAATTAAGCTAGGAAAGTCAAGCTATTCATTATGTTTTATTTTCTTACTTCAATATCTTTATTTGATCGTTGTAAACACACTTAACATAGTGGATGACATTACAAACACATTTTGTTTGGCATAGTTATAATATATTTTTTGTAATAATTCAATGGACATTGTTTACAATAAGTAGTAATCTAATCACATAAAATACAATCAGGGTCACAAGTTATGGGTTTAGATTAATTTAAAAATTTATTATAAACATATTATCTCAATTTTGGAACAAATTAAAGAACAAAACTTTGGATCTTGTTTGTTTAATTGTAGATTGAGATTTTCTATGGATCAAACTCTTCATTTTAATAGCATTAGTCATTTTGGATCATGAATTTATCTTAACAAACAACACATTTGATTTATTGATCTACATTTATTGAGCATGTTCGACAGTTATCAATATAATCCTAACAATTAGATATCTCTGGTGCAATAGAGAAGTCACCAATCATTGATGAAACACATTCTTCCTTACTCAATAAACTGATATAAGATCTTTGACAATTTTTAATCTAGGGGATTTAATTTAAGCATATTTCTAAAGTGAAATCGAAAATGAAGTTTTCCTCACAAAGTGCACAACCTGTTCTAATTTTTTGTTAGAATTTTAAATTCATATTCTATACATCTACTAATGAGCAAAATTGTAAATTATCAGTAGAATATTCAAAACAGTAAATGCAATTTTTGATTTCACATATTTTGCAATAGTTTTCAAATGAATAATAATATGGTGGTAAACAAATGGGTTTTGATCTTGCTTTAATTTCAGCTGAAAATATACATTCACCATCTATTAATTTATAATCACCATAACACTTTACACAAATAAAAGTAGTAGGAGTAACTTAACAAAATTAACAATTAAAAAGAAAGCATTCATAGCAGATGTATTAATCAGTTTCAGCAAAATCCATTTATTAGCAAAATTGTCTAAAATAGTTTTAAGCCAAATAGAATTCTTTGAAAATATTTGTAATATTTTTAATGTCAGTTTCATAGCTAAATGAATAAGTATAATGAATAGGATTGAGTTATATCCCATCATAGTAATACTGGACATCACCAAATTCTACTGATGCCTCATAATAGTTAGTATTTGGTTTTATCACTAAAGATTTTTGACAAATTGGATACTAAAACCATGACTTAGGGTTGTTCAGACATTCTACACAACTAAGAAAATCTTTCTTAATCATTGAAGGACTAAATGCTAATTGATTTTATACCATTATATACAATCTCCATCCAACTCAAAAAATCCGTATTTACATTTCTTATCAAAATTAAGATTTTCATCTTGAATCACTCTAAGATTTGAATCTTTATAGGTTTAGCATTTATTTTGATTATCTATTGTATTAAATGGACAAATGCAGACTTTATGTTATGGAATATAGATTCTCTGAGATTCAATCGAACAAGACAAACAATTTTGATTAGTTGGACCATCGCATTCATAACAACTGTAATGACAAATTTATGTTGTAAGTTTTTTATAACAATTAAAAAACTGCAAATCTTTCATTTGAGTATTTAAATAATTACTTTGAGTTTACAAGCAATTACCAAATTAAATTTTTAATTAACAATTATGAAATTAATGAACCTCAAATTTAGCATAATATGAAAATATTTCAAAACCTTCATAAAAGGTAATTTCCACATTTATCTTATTGTCCTATAATTCAACTTTGAGATAATGCCATAGCAAAATATTATTTGTAATAAGCAACATTTTCTTTATTAGGAAAGGATCATCTGAAAAGTCAATAGATATATCTGGAAAATTATAACTATATGTGGTAACTTCTATTTCATTTTGTAATGTGGTCATATGATAAAGTAGTTAGAAGGGAGATAAATTTTGATTCTGAAATATTGGGTTCTATAAATTTGCAGATACTTTTAATGACTAATAACTGAGTAGTCCAGAGGAATTTATAATTTCTTTAATTTTAATCCATCCTAGAATTATAAATGAATCACAATTGATATTATCTGAAATATAGATATCCTAATCTTAATCTTTAAGATCCTTATCTCCAATCAAGAATATCTCGTTTGATTAACAAACGCATTACTCAAATTATTGGTATGCTTGGTTTGCAATATGGATAAAATCAAAATCAATTGTTAAGGTTTAGGTTGAAAAATCTTGCAAAATAATAGTACCTGGAAAATATGAGAATATTTCGCCTTATTTTAGATCAATAATCTTCGAATTACGTACTATAAAACCACCTCCAAATGATAGTATTAAGTTTTCATCTTTGAAGGGGTATTTCATTTAATTATTTGTTTACAATTAAACATCCTATCTTTTAATGAATATTAATTTGAATATATCCTATGATGGCCATGCTATTAGTTGTATGTAATACCAAGTGTTTTCATAGTCAAATGGATCGATTTCAAATGTAAATCTATTCTGTTAATCCAAGTTATTGATAAATAAAATTGTTTTTATTATTTTCCTTGAAACAGAGTCGAAACAATCATAATAAATTAGATTTAAACTATATGAATACTAATCAATTGCATTATGCAAATGAAAGCAGTGGCTATCGAATAATCCATACTTTCCTATCTAAGCTATTGTACTAAGAGGGTTATACTTTGACCACAATCCATATGACAAACAACTATCAGTATTATACTTATTCTCTGTTAATTACATTAACTTCCTTTGATATTGATTAGCTGGACTCAATGCAATAATCTCAAAACTTTTCATCATTTTGATTTTAAATAACAAAAGACTTATTAGTATCATGAGAAGAGATTATATAAAAGTTTAAATAATTAATATATTTTATTTACGCTGCTATTCCATCTAAAATTTTTAATCCAATGCAATTATTTTAAATAAATTATTGTATTTGAAGTATACATAATATATTTTTATTGTTGAATATCTGGCATACAATTTAATTAAACTATCTTTATACAAATCTATTAGGCTACTCCTTATCACAATTTTTTTTTTTCATAAATGAAATTAAATAGATAAAAATTAAATTCTCATTTTCCTTACTTTTCTTTACTAAATTGGAATTTTAGTATCGTTTCTATCTCAAATTGTGGTTGTAAAATACGTTATTAAGAATATGATGATAGATAAAAAAGTTTTCAAATGCAGAATATTAATGTTAAAATTTAATATTTATTAAGTCTTTAAATCCAGTTCTATCTATAAACAGTTGGAATGCTTTTTGAAATTTTTTATACAAAATAAATGTTTAGCTATTAAGTAAAATTATATTTCCAATACTTTTGTATTGACAAATATGTTAAGCAATATCTTTTTTTTGAAAAATAATTTGAGAATACATTAAAGGCATTTAAAGATGATCCTTAATTTTTACAGGACGTCATCAAACTTATAGATAAATTAGTGTATCAATGGTTGATTTATTTTCATTAATAATGATAATTAGATTTTTTAGAATTGATATTAATTTAATAGATAAAGAAAAGTATATTATTCAATCAAAAAAAGTACTTAATTATTTTTAAATTAGAGCGCAATCTTGGTTGTCAATTAAGACTGGTGTTTCTTGTCTGAAAAAATAGAGAAACATAGTTTAATGTTCATACTTTGAGTGAAACTTTAATTATTATTGTAATTCTTACCCAACCTTAAATAGGAATATTGGCTTCATAGATTCCACTTCCTTGGATGCAATTGTTTCTGAATTCTCCAACATACCTGGTGTTGTCGTTGAAAATAAGTTCTCCATTGCCATGCATCTTGCCTTTATACACAGAACCCTTATAGACACATCCATTAGCGAATTCAAATTTGCCTTGTCCATGAATTTTGCCATCTTAAAATTGTCCCACATAAGTTGTTCCATTTTTTCTTATTTCAGTACCTTCTCCAATCAATTTATTATTAAGCCAAAATCCCCTCACTTCTTTTCGAGAATTCACAAATTTGCCAATGCCATTAGCCACATTATTGACAAAATTGCCATCGAAACTAAACAAATATTAATTATTTATAGTACTAATCGCCATTCGGATAAATCATCCTAGCTCTTCCATTTAGTTGATTATCGGTCCAAGTCCTTTATAAATTAGAATATAGATTTTACCCTTCTAAAAAATTGCCCTCCTTCTACCAGTGCTATTTTCCTTGGCCATTCCTCTTCCCATTGAGTGTTTATCCGTAAAATATACTTTGATCCGGCATCAGCATATACTGGCCCTAAAGATTTTGGAATAAATCTCCCAATTCTTGATGCACCTATTGAACTTTAGGATGCAGCTCCCCCAGACTGCTGATATTCATTCCAATTTGTAAATATTAATCTTAAGAGTCTGATAAATCCAAATCTGTTTGAAGAGTAGTTTGATTGACTAAATATTGTTAAAGCAATGGATTACTTGAATCAGGTAATTTGATATTGAATTGTTAATGGGGCTAATCTTTACTCGATACACAACCCATTGTTTAATATTTCAATTTAGATAATTTTAATTGATACTAATATTCGAATACACAAGCATAAATTAACTCTTAACAATCAGAATTGAATATTCACCTTCTGACTTCGAAAATTATCGTTTAATGTGCATAGAATAAAATTATCTGTAATTTCTAGTTGGCACACTTACAATTTTGATATGATTTACAAAATAAAATAGTGAAACTTTCTAAAAATGAAAATTTTTATTATATTCATTATTAATATTTATATCTAAAGCAGAGACACGCGTGGAACTAAGCGGGTTACGATGCTGAATTGAAATTTCCTATACGATTTGGATACTATTTTATTGAGAATGAGGAAATTAATTGGAATAATATATTTAAAATATAATTTCAATGAGTTTATCTAGGAATGGTTCCAAGTTTTCAAGACATGATCGCATCGCAAATTCTTAGATAATAGATTTGAAGAAGAACAAAATGTACCCATCTTCATCCAAGAATTCTGATCAACCAGGAGGGTTTTTTCTGAGTTTAGCAAATATGAAAGCTCCTGATTATGGGTAAGCACAACTATTAAATAATGATGCCTTGAAAAGTAAAATAAAAGAGAAAAGAAATTAAAAGTCAATTGATAATGATACGATGTTGAATAAATTTGTTACTAGAGTTGAGACCAAATTGATTTCATCGCCATTAAAAAAAAAAGTAATTGCCATTGATCCAAAAATTGACATGCCCGCTCAAATCAAACCTTACTCACTCACTCCTCAATCTCGATTGCAATCATTTCGTATCGCAAGTCCTTCATCAAAACCCAGATCACAGAGCCAAAACAAAAGAAGCGAAATCTATTACCTAACCAAACTCTAAAGGGCTTTCGATACCAATGGTTCAGACTACTTCTCTCGCATGTATCGCGAACACTTCCATCAAACTTATTAGGGATTAAATTGTAGGTTTTTTCCTCAAAATAACAATGACTATAATCGATCTCACAAATTACCCAAAAAGCATTAAAGTATATTACATCATAACACAATAAGGATAACTCACTTTGTTCTTTGATTTAGATGAAACATTGGTGCATTGCAATGAAACACCCTCGATTCCTTGCGACGTTGTTTTGGAAATCAATGTCTCTAAACATTAAATTGTAAAAGCAGGAATTAATGTAAGACCATATGCCAAAGAAATGTTAAAAAATCTCTCAAACCATTTTGAAATAATCATCTTTACAGCCTCCCATAGTTGCTATGCAGAAAAGGTAATAAGAATATTTGATTAGGTTTGCAATCATTTAGACCCCGATTCCACCATTATAAGTCATAGATTATTTCGAGAAAGTTGCACTCAAACTAATACTTCCTTATACACTAAAGATTTAAGAATATTTTGCGACAATACCAACAGATAGTTAAGTTAAGTCGCTTTGATTGACAATGCCTCATATTCTTATGCTTGGCAATTGGAGAATGGGATACCAATACTTCCTTTCTATGATAATAAAGAGGACAGAGAACTGATAGAGTTGGAGAAATACTTGAAAAATATGATTGGTGTATCTGATATACGAGAATATAATAGAAGCAATTTAAAACTGCATTTGTTTGTGGATCAACGTGGACCTTATAAAGTATTGGAGAATCTATTTGGTAAACCACAATAACTTTTATGAGTATTAGAAGATTATCATTAAATTCATTCAATGCTTTTTTCTTAATTTAGCATCAGCTCTTTGTGCTTCCTCCAATTTGGTCTTCATCTTCATAGCCAAATCAAAATTTCCAGTCTTCCACGCAATCAAATCTTCTCTAAAGTTAGAATCCGATGGTAAGGGGTGACTATATTATAATCATTACAATAACATACTCTTCATCTTCTAATACATAAGGTTCTGTATTAATATTCCATATTTCTTGATTGTCTATAAACATATTCTTATGCCACACTCCATTAATTTTTGAAATTTCCCTAATAATTTCATTCTACCTCAACTCTTTGAATTTCAAATACCCATCTCTTTGGAACCTTCTAACGAACTCTTCATTCACCTCATAGATGCAACCTTCATAATAATCATCCAAATGTTCTCTCCTTTTTTTCCAAATTGAACCTGGATGAGGATTCAATTTAATTTCTGCTACTAATCTGTGTTTCAAATTGATAACATGGAATTTCCCAACCATCTAAAACAGCTTATCCCCATACAAGGTCCCAGTGTAAAGACCAGAACAGGGCAAGAAAATGAGTTCATTTTTAGATTCATAAAAATACACTTTTGTGTACCCTTAATTGATGCCACTAACTGAATTGGCTGAAATGCTTGCTATGGTACATAAACGATGATTCACTCTAATATGATAATTCAATTCTTTACCTGTATCCTTTTCCGTAAATCAATAAATTGCTTATTGGTGGATGATGTGACACTTACTCTGCGTAAATAGGACAGCCATTGATGAATCCTGAGTAGGTTTCTCCAAGGATAGGATTAAATGGTTTCCACATATTCAAATATAAAATGATTGTACCATATCCATAGGGCAAGAAGTTCTTAAATTGAAATAAGTAGTCCTTTGAGACCGCCTCGTCCAAATATTATAGGTAAGTAAGTGAATTTGCGTATCTCTGAAGATTACTCTGTTTTTCAAAGACATAAACGGGTAAGCTTATGCTCATGATTGACTTTCCAGAAGCTAAATTTGTTCCTATTTAAGACAGCAAGTACGAGAATACTTTCTTCTATTCCTTTAATCCAACCTAATCAACATAAAGCAAACCACCTTAATTCTAATCCACTTTCCAATAATTCTTCAATAAGAAATGCCCTTCTGATGTGGATTTCAGGAATTTAGGTTCCACATCAATAGGTTCCAATTGAAATTCATTATTCAAACAGACATTCCAGTGTTTATTCTGTTATACAAATTCCAATAGTTCCATCAGATTATTTGGTATCTTCCTTTCTAAATCTATGGATTGATCAAATTTTTCAGTAATAAAATCTTCCGAGTGATTAGATAAAGACATAGTAGATTACTGTTGTTATTATTCGAAATGCAGATCTCTAAAATTTATGACATAATCAATATGATCTGCCAAACAATGATACTATTCCATAAAGGCTATATTGGAAGCATCATAGTAGGCTCCATCTTCAAGTTGACAAATGATCTAAATAATTGTTTATTGGGGCATCGAATCGGTTGAATAATTTTGGTTTCTTCTTTGAATTCCACTAAAGGAATACTTTTAAATTGATTTTCTGAAAAATTTGGCTATTGAATAAATTGGGTTTTCAGAATTGAGTTATTTCTCAATGACACAATCAGATGCCTTGTATCTCATGATATAGAATTATGATTGCCTCTGGAATCCGTATATTAATTTGATTCTACTCTGATCCACAACCTTGTAATCCTAATAATCAAACATTGTCCATTCATTTACTATGAACTTATTAAACCCAAAACCCTCATACAGGAAATGTTTAACCACTTCAATATCATGCTCTAAAACAACTTGAACTTAATACAATCCTTTCTTTGATACACTTTTGTATACATTATTTCCTACTCTGTAAAATTCTCCCTACTTAAATTTGTCTACAGTCATATCATTCAAATAGGTTGGGAGGTTTGATACTTTAGGGCCTAACTCCCCTATGCTTAGTGGAGTGAATACATGGAACTATTATTTCTCCTCTTAGTTGAAACAGGTAAAAGTCTCTTACTAAGTCTTCTTCAAGGGATCAGGAGATTCAGGCTATTCTGAGATTCTTTGCATGTCCTTATTGGATGGTTTGGAGAAGAGCCAACTCTCATTGTAACTATCACTCTTACTCAAGTCCAATTGATCTGATTTATTCAAAGGAGGAGTGGAAGCTGTTTGCTTGGCGAATTCAACACTCATCCTTCTGGGTTGGATTGGTTTACTGTCACAGACTCCAGTCAACAGATTGAACCATTTCTTAGCGTAGTCTTCGTCATCTGATCCCAATATCAATTACTTATAATGATCATATATGGCTTGATTGTGTGCAATTAAAATAAAACAATAATGCAAACTTTTGCTCTTCTTCTAACCAACCCACATTATTCCATATTTTGATAATGACATTTCTACATTGCCTTCTTTTCTAGGCACTATCAACTTTTTATGAGTTAAATTCAATTCCAACTTCTTTGTTCTCCAAATCCCAAGAGTCTCCCCTTTTACATGTAATTCTCCCTAAATCTTTGAATCGTCTTCCAATTCTAAGCTCTTAAACACCGAACAGAACATGCTCTTTTGAGCCTCTACTGGTAAATTAAACAATCCCTAGATTTCATCCACTTCCAGGTCAGGATAATTTTCAGGATTTATTTCGATTTCGTTGTTGGCATGATTCTTAATAGAAAATATCAAAAAGTTTAATTTCTGTCTTTGAGCTTCAGGCACATTTGACCCCATTATCAGATACTTCTAATAATATTCTTCGAACATATATTCAGAATGGAGATAAATTATATTATTAATTTTTTACACAATAATTATACAAACATTACAATTGGTGACAAGTGTGAAATTATTCTGCTTAGATAATATTACTAAATAAAATATAATTTAATTCTTGGTTGATATTCATTTTTCTTCAAATCTACAAAAATTAATAAAACATTATCTTCCAATTAAGATTCTCCTTCTCCTTTATTAATTTTGTCTATTTGTACGATTTGATAGTAAGTAAATTACAATTAATACTAATTTGAAGATAAAAAATGATTGATAATATTATTAAAAATTTAATTGAATAGAATCAAAATTATATAATAAAATGTAGTATGTAGCACTAAAAGAATTGCATACGACTTTAGGATGTCTGATAATGTTAGTGTATGAATCACAAATTTCAAAAAAATTATATTAATTCTATAAATAGGTTTAAAATTATACTTTTCCATTAAATCCTATTTTCATAATATAGCTATTTATCAAAGTATATATTGAAATATTTATCTAAGGGCAATCGTATGTTGATGTATAGAAATATCTCTCAACTATGAGATGTGAGTTATATGGAACTTTATTCAAATACAGAATTGATTAAATGATTATTTATTGTTATTTTTTTATTTATACTAATTATAAATTAATATATTATAAAATAATTATATAGTATAAATTAAAAAAAATCAATCATTATTTGAATAAGCATTGTAAATTTGATGAGTCATATGAAATATTGATCTGTTCTCATTTTTAATTAATTAAATGTATCACTTAAAAAAACTGATAGGAAGAAATGTTTTTTATTGTTTCGGTTTGTTTGCTTATTTTGTCAATAAAAACAAAATATTATTTTAAGCAGATAAAAACAAAACCAAAATTTACTGATCACATCTATTTGAAAACAAATGAATTAAAATGATTCTAAGGAGTGATCAATTCAATATTTGAAGATGCATTTCTTTAAAATTTAATAATTTTTGATTTGTTAATAATTTCCCTCTTTGATTTGCAAATTAAGGCAGAAACCCACGCACACTATTAAAAGAGATAAGACGTTTATTTGGAGGGCAGATAGGATTGAGTGGTATTATTTGATGTTACGATCATTTCTTGATTTATAACTAAAGGGTTTGTTCTTCAGTTTTTAAAGTAGAAATTAATATGATCGATGGGATGTGTGATGGGTTTGTCATTGCTGAGATTTCTCATTTGGATTTATATAATATTAATAATGCTTATTTTGGATTGGATTGATTTTACAAAAGGTCCTTGTATGTGTGTGAATATGAGATTTTGGAGGAACATTTTGTGAGATTTGATTAATAGATTTGAAAAAATTTAAACGATTTATTTATTAAGCAATTCTTATTATGCAGCACAATTCGTTATTGTGATCAAAAATACAATTATTTTTTATTCAAAAAAATGGCAGAAGAATGGATTACTAAATAGATTGATAAATACATTATTGTGAATTAGAAGCTGGGAAGTGGGGCATTTGGAACAGTGTATAGGGGATTTAAAAAAAATGATGAAACGAAGCAGGTTGCTGTAAAGGCAATATCAATTGCTGTAAGAAAATCAGAATAACGATTTTAGAGCATCAAAGACTCAGCCAAGATGGTAGAACACATTAAAAGAGAGATATCTATTTTGTAATAGGCCAATAATCCTCATATCGTTAAATTGTACGATGTGGCCAGAACACCACACTATTTGTATCTATTTTTGGAGTATTGTCACGATGGGGATTTGAAGAAATACTTATCAACAAAATATGGCAGGAGATTAAGTGAAGTAAAACTATTTTATATATATTTTAATTTCTCAGGTTGAGGCAGTCATCTTTTTGAAACATTTAGTTGAAGGATTCCGAACACTTCATTAGCTCAAAATAATACATAGAGATATCAAACCTGCTAATATATTGCTGCATAAAGGTGTTGCTAAAATTACTGATTTTGGATTCGCTCGAGTGATTGACACTGGAATGAATGGTAAAATAAGCAGTTAAATCATATAGATCCTGCCTATTTTTCAAGAGTGGGATCTCCCTTATATATGGCACCTTAAATATTGGAGGGGTAACCGTTTTCTTCCAAATGCGATGTCTGGTCAATGGGAGTGATGCTATATGAAATGCTATACGGAAAACCTCCTTGGGACGGAGACAATCAATACAATTTGTTACAGAATATCAAGAAAACTGCATTGCATATTCCTGATGCTCCTGTGAGGAGTGATAAAATTAAGCAATTGCTAAAACATATGTTGGTCGTACATGAGAAAGTAAGGACATGGAGCTTAACTATTTTTAGGATAGATATTCTTGGGAATAAATTTTCAATCACGAAATCATGCAGATTTAGGAGGCATAGATAAAGAATAATTTGGAGTAGTTGATGAAGGAGAAGGACGAGTTGTCACGTTCTGAGAGTCTCAATAAATTGTACATGGAAATGAATCTGGTTGTCGGCTATTTAGATCAACCTGAATAGATTCTTTAAGAACCATCAACTCCTCAATTAACACAAGGGAGTGAAGAAAAACAATCTGTTGATGATATTAATCACGAAAAAGTATCACATTTATTTATTACTATATAGGGGTTAAAAATTATTAATTAATATGAGACTGAATAAAAACGCAGAAAAGCGATGTTGAAATATAACACTTACTTTTTGTTTGAAAGAAATATTGCTTTCTTCTTCAATTACGTGATCCAAAAAATTATCAAGATGTCACATCAAGGAATACTCAAATTGACTCAAGAATTATATTATTCAACAATTTTTTGTATCTCCAAAAATCAAAATGTGCACCTTAAAAGAATGTATGACTAATTAATGTCCACCAATCCTGATAAATTTGATAGGGAGACCTGGGGTAGGTACTTAATCAGTCAAGAATATAAGAAAATATTAACTGTCACCAAAAATGACATTAAACATACGGAAGATTTCTATTTGGAAATTTATAAGAAGGAAAAGCAAATCATTGATAAAGAACTTACTTAACCTGATAATAAAAGGGCATCCAAAATTAAGTAAGTCTTGGATGTTAACTTTGATCAAAATACTTTCTTCTAATAACTTTATCAATCAGTCGTACAAGAAAGCTTAGACATCATTAAATCTTCTATTAAATAAACTAAAGACTCTGATCCTGTATATAAAGATTTACTCTAATTGGGATGGTTTCTTGTGATCTGTTTGAATCCGTACTTAGAATTTAAAGACATTAATATGGATTTTAATTAATTTTATGAGGAAATGCAAACACTCACAGAAGCATAATTTTTAGAAAAAATTGGTAAACGTCTTGATCTATGAATTTTTATATTTAAATTAATTCTATGAACTTTTATTCCTATTATTGTATAGAAATGTTAAATTTATAAAGTATAAATATCATCTTATATTAATTTCTATTTAGAGTAGTAAGCATTGTTAAGCATTTGGGGCTGGAGATGAAATTTAGAAAAATATATATATCAACTAATAGCACTTAATAATTTTCTGTAATGAGTGAAATTTTGTTGATATTTTACTTCTTGTCTTATTAATATTTTACTTAAGTAATTCTTTACTTTAATTCTTTTATAAGTACAATTTTATGTTTTTCCTAAATTTTATTAAATTTTATTAAATGGCTTGCAACTTGAATTAATATTTCAAACAGCCTTTACACATTATTAATAATTCAGGAAATCTAATGTTTTCATCATTTTTAATAAGCAAAAATATTAGTAATTATAATTATTATAATTATAATTAATAATTAATAATTAATCACTTATTTTCTTTCTTAAAATTGGGGTCATTTTAAAGAATACCAGATATTTAGTTTACCATTTCATGATTACAATCTTAAGAATGGTTTGAGTACTTTCTGAATTCAGTTACTAACTTGCTTTGCATTTATTAGAATTTTTAACTGTTTAAACTTGGCAAAGCTAATTGATCATCATTTTGTTTAGATTGCTGTCCTTGTGCTGTTTGTTAAGCACTTTTGAAATGCAATCTAAAGACATCAGATAGACTTTCAGGAATATTCTCATCCAATTACAATTCTTCAATATATCCTGTTTCCACTCTGAATAACCATCCATGTACCATAACAGCTAATAAATTAATAAATAAGATACGATGTCCAACTTCCCAAGATTTCTATACGATAGGATTTTTCCACATATTGAGTACTTATTCTCTGACATTTAAACTAGACAAACATGCAACTCTGTCATTCTCATTCTCAAATTAATTCACAAGATGTTGATTCTTCTCATAAACATGTTTGATATTATTGAGCCAAAGATCTAATAATCCACCTACAGAGTCTTATTGCATGGCTGCCTTTACTCCTCCACAGTATGTGTGACCCATAATGATGATATTATGGACCTTCAGATGTTCTACAGCATATTAGATGACACAATTTAACTAAAAGTTGAAACAGAAACGATTACGTTTAAGTCGGTCATGTTGACAACATTGGCTATGTTACGATGGATGAAGATTTCACCTGGGTCGGTCTCTGTCAATTCATTTGGAGGAGCTCTAGAATCAGAACATCCAATTAACAGATATTTTGGACTCTGGCCCTGGGCTAACTTAGTGAAATAGTTTGGATCTTGGGCGAGCTTCTTTTAGACATAGTTTTTATTTCCCAAAAGAGCCTTTGCATATTTCTGGATTTCTGATATTCCTTTTTAAACGAACTTATTTTGCATAAGAATAAATATTTTTTGGATATTAAGATTTAATTTATAAAATTCATACGTTAAATCAGGCCTAATTAATTCTTACTTTTGATATATATTGAAGTGCAACTGATTAATAGTAATTGCTTTTTAATTTAATATTTTATATTATCTATAAAAGTGGAATATCTCGAAATGCCTATCCCAAATGACTGGAGTGAGTGAAATGCACATGAAAATGATAAAATGATGGAAGGTAATGAACGAAAACTTTCACAAATTTTGACTCTAATTTGTATTTTTCTGAAATTATTTTTAAACCTTCAGTATACATATCTTCCAACATTGCAATGTGATCTTAATTTAAATCCCTCAATGATTTTATATCTCGTTAAAATGGAAGTGCCAACAAATGCAAATCATCCAAGCTTTGAGAATTCACAAAAACATAATCCTTAAGAATTAAAAATGTTTGATTTTCAAATACAATATTTTCCACCTCTTTCTTCTTTTCCAGTATATTATAGACCCAATCCAAGGGCATTTAAATAATTTATGATTAATTGTACATGTCATAGGTTTCTTCAATGACAACTGATTCAGATTTCGAATATTTGTCAATATGAACCTAACTCGCAGGACAAATCAATTCGCAATCAATATCGCTCAACATCTGACAATTGTATTTTGTATATATATCATTGTGGAAATATTGGACAGCTTAATCTAATGCAAGTTGTTGAACTTCCTTTTCAAAGGGTTTCTTTTGCAATATGAGAATGGCGCACTAATTATTCAAACTGCCCAATAATATTAGTCTTTTTGTATTATCGTCCCAATTAATCACCTGTGAAGGTCTAAATTGTTGAAGTAAATCGCTGTTCATTTAATTATATATATTTAATAATATTTGCCATATTCTTTTAATAAAACAACTAAATTTCACAAGTGCTGTAATAATCACAGATTCCGATGAATGAAAATGATAAGAAGTTATCTCTGCCTCCTCTTCGCATGTCTGAGCTTCAAGACTTACTTCGATAATCGAATGAGTAGCATAAAAAGGATGTCATATATAGCTACAGAGACACGAAGAAGAAAAGACAAAAAGAAATTGCTGATTTAGAGAAATATAAGACCATCGAAAGAAAAGGTTCTATTTATAATGAAATTTAGTATTCAACTCCCAAAATAAATTGTAAGGGAGACCCTTTGGAAAGGATTTGGATATATTTTTATGCAAGGAACCTTTGATTGATGATTTCCTAAAACGCCATATTATTGCTCCTCAAAGAAATCTCGAAAAAGGTCTTAAAGACAGTAATTTAGATACTATTCTTTAGTAAAGACTGGAAGGAATTAGTTTTTGGATGGGAGATGCTTTGGAGAGGTTCCTGAAAGCAAACTAAGTCAAAAGGAGAAGCAATTCAAAGAGTATTGGAAGGAGTACAATAAGCAACTTTCGGAATAAAGATACAAAATGTTATTAGATTCTTAAACTGGTCTGTAGAAGAAAATCAATTAATAAAAAAGACTAAAAGCTTTGAAAATATTTGTGCCAAATAAGTATTCACTTGGATATTTTGATGATCATCCATCTTAAATTTTGAGTTTTACGTATTTATTACATTTATGGTAGGGAGATGCACAAGCACTCATAACCTCAAATTTGGAGTCCAAATAGTTTCTATGGTGATTCATTCGAAGAAAATCTAAAGTAATTCTAATCAAAAAGTAATTTCAAACTCAGTAACACTATCTTAAAAGATCAAAGTAAATCCTCCATAAAAGTAGATTGATTAAAATAAATTAATTGATATTTTCATTATGATAACTGATATTAAATTTGTACCATCACATGAGCATCTTCATACCATACTTCCACAAAGGTTGCATAAATAAACTTATGTGTTTTCAATTTAACCATTATAATTGTCATATAGTTTAAATAGAATGATAAATGATATTTAAATAATTATGTTCGACTACTTCATTAAGAGAAATGCTGGATAACTATTAACTTTGGGAGTATAGCTCAGTTGGGAGAGCGTAAGACTGAAGATCTTAATGTCATGGGTTCGATCCCCATTGTTCCCATTTTTATTTTTATTTTTATATGAATGACAATTTAAATAGTTTTTCTCTATTATATTTTATTTATTTAAACAATGCTATAATTGTTATATAATTCAGAAGTACTGTTATTTTCAGAACCATTAAAATAAGACACAGAAATTAGATATTAAATGGAGTTATTATGAATTTATACAATAATAAATGAACATCCTTGATGTGTCATTATTATTCATCTCCCTGTTCACCTTCGGCTTCTTCTTCATAATATTCCTCTTCCTATCCAGCTTAGGATCTAAATATTGATAACAGGAATGATCATACTTCATCCAATTGATCATGGGTTCGCTCAATTGTCTATAATGATTATCAATTTCTTCATTAAAGAGGAAGTTCTCTTTTGCTTCATTTTTCCACTCTTCAGAATTTTCAAACCATTTTAGCAAATATTGTTCATCGACATAAGAGTAATCATAGAATCCTTTTAAGACTGTGCCAAAATATTTATCATCGATGTTTCGTTTCTTCATCAACCATTGTATGTTCAAGATCATATGACACTATGCTAATTGAGGATCTAGGTCATTAAAGTAGGTAGTCAACAACTCATAATTCCTTTCAAAGGCTTTAGTTGGATTTTCATCGAACATGCTTTAAAATATTAAATAGCAAACTCTATCTTTGAGATGTCTATCCAGATTGAACTTCTTGATATCTTGAGTCAACATCATATCAGCAACGTCATTGTCTAGTTTCTCATTGACAACTAATCTATTATAAGTGTCTCTCAATTGAGCTAAGAAGGTTTCTAGCAATTCAGAGTCCAATCCTACTTCTGCAGCCACAATTTTCTTCTTTTTCTATTTGTCCTCTTTATTTCCGCTCTGTCCTTCACTGTTGATCATCTAAACCTCATCTTAACCATTCTTAATTGATTGATTTCCCCCAGGAGGATTCTTCAAAATATAACTCGCCAATCTATGTGTGTTATCCAAATCACTAACATGTCCACAAGAGTCACATTGTCCATAAATAATCTTGCCACCTTTTATTTTCATATACATCTCTGGATATCTACATTTTTAACAGAGAATGTATTTCTCAATAAATTTGTCCAATTATTTTCGTATTTGATCATCCTAAAAGGCTCCATTTATAATACAAGTCACATCGTTGTCATTTTTAAATTTATAAGAAGTTTGGGAACCAAACTCGAAACCCAAATATTTCAAGGGATCTAAGTTAAATAAAAGTCTAAACATTGATCATGACAATTTAAAGCTTTTGCTATTTCATGCAAATTCATTATGTTGGTCTTTATACCATTTCCTCTGCCTTCAATCTTAAGTTAAGGTTTTGGCATCTTGTATCTGTAGTTTGAGTCTTCAATATACGAAGGTATGTTCACATAGACAGTCTTAATCATTAATTAAATTGCTTAGAATTTTTATTTTTGTTCAAAGTCATTCTTAAATATTATAAATACTCATATAATAAAGTCATCATAACTCGGCTCCTAACCACCCAATTTCCTAACTAGTTTACTCCACTTGACTATAAATATCCATACAGCATGTTACCTTCATTCTTCTTAATGTAGGGATCAGATAACAAGGCTTCAGCATTGAAATTGAGATGCTAATCCAACTCAAATATCTCACAGACAGCCACTTAGTTTAATTAATTTGGTTTTAATGAAGGTAGGTTGTGTAGTAGTATATCATTTGAATCTCTGAAGGATTCTATGAAATCATCATGTAATTATAGATTCGTCTTTTCTATTGTGACTTACAGCGATTTTAAGTACTTCGCCATTAAGATTAATTCCTATTGTATTGGTTCTGCATCTGTATCTGCGATTTAATGATAATAAATTACTTTTTGCTAAAGAGTTCTTTAGTTTCCTCTTATCTTTTTCTTTTGCAAATTGTTTCAAATATTAAATACATTTTTTTTTGTTTCTCTTTGAATACATGGCCAATTAAAAGGTTTCCTTAACTTTCCCCTATTATAATAGGCAGCAATCATTAGATTTTTCTTTCAACATATTTTAAGAGACTTTGCTTATTAAGGAAAAAAAGTTAATTGCTTCTAATTTCAATATATTTAATTCGAGAATATTTCTTGTAAGTTGATCAGTCAAGACTATCGATATAGTGTTATAATCTTACTGAATTGTCCACTATTATTAAGTATTGCTATGCCGATATTATTTTAATTGCTTTATTGTACATAATTTAAAAAGTTATCAGTATTTGAATTGGCATCTCTTTTTTCTTGCAATATAGTTAATAAAATAGCATCAATTTCATTTAGAACCACAACCCTCTATTGATCATCAGTGACTGATTCTTTTATTTATTTTGTTAAGTCCATCAATGCATTTATTTCTATTTCACTCATTAAACTATGCTATTATAAATGCTATTTTATGATATCTAATTCTAGAGTCTCCTTTCTCAGTTCTAATAACAAGTTTAGTGTGCTTATAAACATTTAATTCTTTTTAAATAATACTAAATTATCATCATATAAGGAATTTATTTGCTGACGCTGAAAATGCTTAAGAAATATAGATCCTAAAATATTCAAAATTAAAGTCAATATATTATGTTTATAATTAACTATTATTATTAATAAATATATATATTTTCATAATCAATTTATTGTTTTTATCCTCTTGTTCATATATATGTACGATCGAATATACTCTTAAATCTGCATCATTATCCTATTTAATGGTCATACATATTAGTCTGTCATTAAATTATCAATAAAACCAATTTAAAAGGAATTATATTGAAAATCCAGACCCCTTGCACTATCCTTTATTTTAAATTATTAATAAATGAAAATAGTGTTAATAAGGATAATGAATCTATTCTTATTATTTTAGGTCCATCTCCTTTTATAGAACCAATTAAACCAGTAAAATAATTTTTTATCTGTAAGAACCCTGATCTAATTCAAAGACTCTCTGTTCTGTATTTCAAGCTGCTATGCTCCTAACATTGATAAGAAGCAATATTGCTTTGATGTCTATAATATAAAATATAGGTAAATTTTATTATGATTATTAAACTGGTTAATATTCAAAATCCCTCATTCTTGATATAAATTAAAACTTAGAACAAAAAGTATCATAAAGTTTCGAATTTAAGATTAAATAATTTCTTTAAAGCTTTGATTTGGTGTTGACAATTAAATTTTGGATTTTAAGAGTGAAGTAAAGAAAAAAATGAGTATGATTTGACAATGTTCTCATCTTGGTATAATTGAATAATTTGTCATTTTATGTAATTTTATGATGATTAATTAATTATATATTTATTTTAAAAATTCATTTCTATAAGTAGTTTCATGAATTTGTTGATCCTTGTATGCTAGACTTAGGAGATTAATATTACATTTATGAAATGAAACACCCGCTTTCTTGTATCAACAATTCAGCTTTTGAATAGTTCTTACCACAGATATTGAGGATAACAGCAACATCTTCGTCATTAGCTTGAGGAAAATTTAGTTTTAACACTTCATAGAGTTTCAAAACTAAATTAATGATAAGTGGTACTTACATTAATCCTCATTCTTCTCATAAACTTTAATTAATCTTACTTTGACACTGGATTATGGAAAATCAAGTTATTATCTGGTTTTACTAATTTAAACTTGTTTAATGTATCGAAATGCTTTTTTTGCAGGCTATCGCTTACTTTTTTGCTTTCTTTTCTTCTATTGCCTGTATATGGGTTTGTGGGGTTTTTAAATAATTCGTTTTGGTAATGGAGGCAGGGATGAACTTTCACAATCGTAAAGCTTCCCTTAAGATTCGAGATAATCTAGATCCAACATTCTCACTATCTGTTTTTGAGTTTACAAACTCTGAATTGGTTGTGAAGAAGATTGTTGTTGCACTTCCTTTTTGGGCATGCTCTCTTCGTCATCTGAAATGGTGATATAGGTTTATTGTTAAACAGGTTATGGTGCTTAATGGAACACAGTTGGTCTAAATTGTTGGATTTAGTTAGGATATGGGAAGTAAATGGGATTGTACATTGTAGGGTATTAAAAATGGGTGTAAGGATAGTAGTGATATGGGGGTTTATAGAAATGAGAATTTGAGTACATCAGAAATGGTAATGTGATTTTGGTTTATTAATTTATTTTAATCTGAAAGAAATGCAGGTAATTTGTTTAAAAATCTTATTTTAAAAACAAAATGAAATTGATTAATTTAATATCAATCATTTTACAAGATTCATAGTTTTCACCATCATGGAAATATACAGAATTAGAACTAGATCCTAGTTCTTGGAGGTTATCTAACTCCCTTTATTTAAACCTAATTTAAATTAAATAAAGATCTAGTACAATCAATAATAGATTACTATTACAGCAAAATCACTAATCCAAAAAAACTTAATAGATAATGTAACGAAATTCAAAAATCAAACATAAAACCGATGATATTCTTCTGCAAATTGTATTTGATAAGCCTAAAAACCTAAAAATATTACAAGCCTCTATAAGAAAAAATTTAATTGTATTAAAATATAAAAATATTTAATTATAATACTTTCTGTGATTACCTTCAAGTAATACCAGCATAAATTGCTGACACCATATAGTTTCTAAAATCCATATAACTTGTTCCTAGACACTTAATAGAACGGGGAGGCTAGTACTTCAAGAAGATCCCTATTAGTAGTTTTATGATTTTTCCATGATATCATTCTTCATGAATATTATTGTAAATACAGTTTTAACTATTAGGGTAAGAAATTAGGATATCCCACTTCTATTGTATCATCATTTGAAGAAGACGATAAAATTGGTACTATCACACAATTCTCTTTAAGGAAGAATTATTAAATTATATTAATGTTAAAATTTATTAAATATATTACAATCAAACTTAGGGCAAATCGGATTAGCTTTTCTTTCTTAATTCTTGAGAATTACACATTTTGATATCTAGGAGGCTCATTTGTTCATGATCTTCGACAGATACAGACATTTGATTTTCAGAGAATAAAGGATTCTCAGAAAGCATTGGATTTTCACCAATAAGAGGATTAGCCAATTCGTCATCGTCTATGTTTGGATTGCTATTTAACTAAATTTCTGGAATATAGAAGGGAGCATAAATTTATTAAAGAAGAATTCTAGGAGAACGATTTTATTTAGTAATTAGAGCTTAGAGATGATCTATCTCTATTTTACTAAAATGTATATCTAATTGACTTAGTATGTCAAGGTAAATCTATTGATTAAATTATTGTTACTTCAATTTTCATAAAACCATTAGTAAATGTTTCAGGATACTTCTTCATCAAAACTTCTTAAATTTCTTATTTTTTGTTCATAATAGTGAAATTGATGGTATCCAATTGCTGATGATTTAAAATGGTATAATTCTCCATCAATGTCTTAAATATGCTTCTTACTCTACTACTAGTAGTACTTTCATTTTCATCTTCAATATCAGCTAAATAGGCTGCTAACATGTGAATTTCATTGGAATCTTCCAAACCAAATATACTTTAGTGTAAATTTTCCTCTAATTAATTGAAAGTCAAATTGTCACTAGTCAAAAGGTACTTTTCCACATCATTGAGTGACATTTTGAGGCCAATCAATCTTAAGCGTACTTTCTTAGCAATAGGCAAAACATCATTTTTATCTACTAAGATATTCTTTTTAATTTAAATTTCATTTTCATTATTTTTTTATTCCTATTCATCAAAAAACTAAGGATTTTTCAATACAACTGTTCTTCTCAAGAACCTTTGTTATTGTTATTATTGCATCTATTGGTACTATTACTTTTCTTGTTCAATTTGCAATTCTAAACTTGATACTTACTTTTAAAATTCCTTATTTTTTTTTTCTAAGTAGGCGATCTTTTCTTAGTCTTCCACTTACAAACTATTGTATTTATTTTCCCAATGTTTAACTTTCTATTGATAATTCCTTATGTCAATTTTGGCTTGTTCCAATTCAATCAAAACTTTCTCATCGACTTTCTAGATGTCTCGTTGTGAAGGTTTGCTGTCGTAGGAGATGTTTTTTCTTCTCAGAATATCGATTTCCAATAGCAATTGTTGGTTTAACCCTCTGAGTTTCTGACATTGCACATTTTGCGCATTCAATTTGATGGTCAGTTTATTATTCATTTTCTAAGGTTGCTAGATCAATGCTTACTTAAAGTTCTTCGTTTTTAATTTCGAGTTATTCCAATATCTTGGTGAGATGTACATTATTATCAGATAATTGCATGCAATAAATATCGATGTTCTATTGTTCAACAGGGTTCTTGAGTTATTTCAGATAGTTTTGAGTCTGACCTAATTCCTCTTTCAATTTTTAGTTCTCTTCCTAAATAGACTCTCCAATAAATACCTGAATCGAAGCCAATCTCTCTAAATAACTCTACTTTAATCTTGTGTAATTATATGTTGGACTTGCCTCGTCTCGTTAAAACTACGTTACTTCCTTCTTGAAGTATTACAATTAGGATTGCTATTTGCGTAGACTTTGAATCAGATTATTCTTTTCTTGTTTAAGTTACTAAATTTCTTCAAACATCGTTTCTTTATCCTTGAGATAGATGGACTTTATTCGCTAATCTTCTAGAGTCAGGTTGCGTTTGAATATTGTTCCGAAATGCTTCGGACTATTAATAGATAGAGTCTTTTGAGTAGCTGAGTTTTGAATCATTTAATATGAAAATTGAATTAATATAACACTTTAGAGAAACCAACACTTTCTACAATGCTAATCACATTCTGTTTATTGCAATCCTTAAATTATTATTTAAAGTCAATTTGGAGGAGCCTTTCTTCCTTTTCTCCTTTCCTCAGTTCAACCTTGGAAAGGAATACCCATAATTAAAGATAATTAAAGATAATTTAATAATTTATGAGTTCAGAATATCCCATAATTACATGGAAGGAATTGATCAAGCACTTTAAACGGTCTTCCTTGTGGGTAGTGGTTGAAGGGATGGTCTATGATGTGACTACGTATTTGGATAAGCACCCAGGAGGAGAGGAAATTCTGAGGAAATGTGGAGCCAAGGATGCCACAGAATAATTCTTAGAATATAATCATTCTAATTATGCTCGATCCATCCTTGCTTCCAGGATTGTTGGACAATTAACAGACGAACCCCCACCTCACAATTATGCTCAGCTACTTAAACAGAGAAAATAGAGAGTAATAGTAAATTCAAATACAGATTAAAAATCCATACAAAGCAATTACTTGGGAAGAATTAGCATTCCATAACACATCGGATGATGCTTGGATAGTGATTGATGATGACGTGTATGATGTTACTGACTTCTTGGCTTAGCATCCGGGAGGAATGAAGTTGCTATTGGATAAAGCAGGAGATGATGCATCCACACACTTTCACAGAATCAACCATTCTTAATAAGCCCATTAAATAATGAGTGAGTTGTAAGTTGGGGTGATCATAGGTACACTATGTAATCATATTATTTCAAGGAATCAAACCTAAGAAAAAGGAGAAACAAGCACCAACTAATTATGTCTTAATAATGTTTATCATAGTTGTATTGTTTATATTTATTTATTTATTTTTATTCTGATCATATATATAATTGTTGTAGATTCATTAAAAGTTATAACATTATTTTTAGATAGTTTGATAAAAGAGATCATTTTGGAAGTGCAAGTCTCGGAACGAAGTATGGATTAGCTTATATTAGCTATTTTGATAGCATGTATTATTATCAGAGGGGTTTCGATTTCTGTGATTGTTTACTCATGTATATTTCAAAAAGTAATATATTTAGATTGAGTCCAGTAAGAGATAACGTTGATTAATAAAATTGAGATGAATTTAAGGAATGTTATTTACTTATGGGATGTGATTGTGGAATAGAAATAGGGATATTGACGAAGTTTTTAATTTGAGTCTCAGAAAATTATTATATAATTAGATATTAGTGATTAATGTAGGGAATGAGTGAGCGAATTAGTTTTGATTATATTAAAATTTAAAATATTGAATTCTGATGAGTAGACAAGGGAATTCACAAGATTATGATTGGCTAGTTAAGGTTATTGTGATTGGTGATTCGGGAGTGGGTAAGACGAATGTCTTGTCGTAATTTTGCGATTCGAAGTTTTCGATTACTCATATGACCACTTTGGGCGTGGATTTTAAGATCAAGACAATTGAGGCAGATGGGAAGAAGTTGAAATTGCAAATTTGGGACACGGCAGGTTAAGAGCGATTCAGAACTATAACAAAAACCTATTACAAGGGTGCTCAAGGAGTAGAAATCATTATTAAGTGTAGGTGATTTTGACATACAGTGTGATTGATAGACAGTCGTTTTATAATGTGGACGGGTGGTTGAAGGTAAGCAAAAGTTGATTATGAAAAGTCGATTCAAGAGAATACGAATTCGAATGATGTGCAATTGGTGTTGTTGGGCAATAAGGCTGACATGTCTGCAGAGAGATAGGTGACTCTGGAGGAGGGCATGAAGTTGTCACAACAATTCAATATTCCATTCTTCGAGACTTCAGCCAAGAGCAATATGAATATCAATGAAGCCTTCCAAAACTTGTCGCAGAGGATCATTCAGACTCTCTCCAAGATACAAGCTAATGATGAGACTCACAACCTCAATATAAAGTAAACAGGAGGAAAGGAGAAACCCAAATCTGATGTATTATATTTAGATTTGATTAATAGATCTGTTGCTGATATTATAAATTTATTAGACAAGATTTTACATTTATTTTTGTAGGACTTTCCGCTATGTTATTTTTTAATTTCAAAGTCCTCTAATTTCCATTCTTCATTAATTAATATGCAAGATAAATCGAATACAAATTCAAGTATCCAAGAATCGTATTCTCCGAAGAAGCTCGCAGAAGGAGGAGAGAAAAAGAAGAGATCCAGAACTCGTAAGTACAGCGATGCTCAACGCGAACACAAGTGCGAGTGCGGGAAGTCATACTTGAGTTATCCTGCCCTCTACACCCACATGAAATAGAAACACAATGGGGTTTTCAAATTACCTAATACTGTAGTAATCTTTGAAGAACCTGGATGAACAAAGGTTGGAATCAACGTTTTCAGAGTCACAAACTTAAGACATCTTTGCCACTCTTGCCAATGCCTTAGGTAAGGAGGAAGATAAACCGCAGGCTTCCTTGAATAATATGGATATGTACGACCTTATTAATTGGGAGGTGTTGCTCCTAATAATGGAGACCGACAACAAAGACATCAGATTGGATTACTATCATGAACTCATGAAATCGCCCCAATCTACTGATGTAACTACTCCTCAAGATGCTTTTATTAAGTTTATTCACGAAGTCAAAGGAGTCCTTAGTTTTGAACAGATGAAACTTATCTTTCTCTTTGTGTACTCCTTTCGAAAACTTCTACTTGACCATCCAGAATGTCCGACTAGTGGACTGGTTGAAAAGGCCAACCAATTAATATGTTATCAATTGGATAAGGTACTCCTAAGCATCCAAAAACTATCAAATCGAAATTACATTGTACATCTAAGCAGAGTACCCAATTTGAGAGAAACTATGATCCAAATAGTACTTGGATTTTGTAATTGGTTATATGCTCGTCATTTGACTGATGACAAATTACTCCTGAAGAGCGATTCTGATTGATTTTTTTATATCAAAAATAGAAATCATTCTTTTTTAGAAGCAAAATCCCTCTCTTATTCTCTTATGTGTTTTTCTCAATCTCCACACTAATTGACATTTCGAAATGAGTAAACCAATTTTATTATATATAATATAGATAGATCATTAATGCGACAACACTGGAGCTGCAGATTCCTCTTCAGGGTCATCTAATGGCCTATGCCACCTGACATGGACTCCCTTTAATTTGCCCTATTAATCCATAACAATTAAAATAATACATCAAATTTGTCAAACGAGTCAAACTTTACTAAGGACAACTTGAAATTCCTCGGAACAACATGTCTCGACACATTTGAAAACTCCTACACGCCCTTCTCACTTTTGATATAAAAACGAGTAACATCCTCCTCATGACTGAGGTACACAAACAACCATTGTTCCATTTCGACATCACAACTTTACCAGATAGGCAATGACTTCCTTCCAAAAGAATAACTTCCAAATGTTACTTGATTGGATTTGGCCAAAACCAATAAGGTATTAAAATTGAGATCAGTCGACAATCTCATCACTCCCTACAAAGAGTCCAAAACACCTTCACTCTTTGAGTATAGCCAAATCCAACCAGATATGGAGTAGACTGTTTATTCAGAATAAGGAAACTCTTAAATCAATGATCCATCTTCATCAATTTAAGTGTCACATCCTTCCCATTTGAATTCTTCAACCTTCAATTCAACATCTGGCAAACGCAAATGCAACTTGTTGATCATTGAAGCCACTTTCTGAGTGTCATCCAAAAAGGACCCTTCTCCCAAGAATACTCGTAAATCATAGATCTGACCCTTAAATGCCTACAACCCAAATTCAGCCTTATTTATGATCAATTGGGCATATCCCAATATATCATGCTCAATGTCTTTGATTATAGTATGCTCAGCTTTCTGAGAGTGCTTATGAATCACTGCAGCATAGAGACTACCATCATTATAAGCATAATATATATAATTCCATTCCCCTTCTATGAAATCATAAGGGATTTAGGTGTTGATAGCAGTAAGTTTCTGCTTTTTATCGTACGAACTAAACTCGTAGTTTTTATTCGTAAGGTACGAGAACAACACTCTATCTCCCAATTGTGCTTTATCCTCATACTGTTTTCTGCTGGTGAATCTAAAGATATTATGGAATTGGATTTGCTTGGACTCATAGAATTCGGCCTCCCATCTTGTCCAAACTCCTATGGCATACTGATTCACTGCATTATGAAATTCAACAGTTGTTGAGTCATCACTTTAGAACCACAATTCTCTCTGATTATTTTAGATGTTGTAATAATTAGGCAACTTATCCTAATAGGATGCTTAACTTAAATCAATAATTGCGTTGTAGCCATATAAGAATTGCCACTATTGCTATACACCTTCAAAGTTGATGTTGTCAACATCTGTACCAAACAGAATACCTAAATAATTAGTTTCCATATGCCAAATGTTAGTAAGCACTCTAACTTCGTCAGATTGGAATTACTTCAATAGAATTTAGACACTCTATTCCATGTCATCGTAACTCATATAGACATAATGCCAAATTACAGGGGAATCCATGTCAATGGAATTTTCAACCAATTTATGTTCATTAATGTTTGATATCTCACTCAAGGTGTAAGTCTGGAATTTGATAAATTGCTAGTCACAAACCTAAATGAGCAGTGTTCTATCACCCTAAATTAGTTTATCATTCAATTTTTCATTCTCATATAAACGAATCAATGTTTAACAAGATGTCTCCTATTCGAACTTACTGAGAGGGGAATAGTTCAATTTGAACCATCCACAAACTGAATAAGACCCAACGTCATGAAAATCATGTTCATCGAATTCATGATCCAATTCTATGATTCCATTTTTCTGTTTGTACAAGTATTCTAAGGTTGACTCCTCTGGAATTTGATACTGGGTTATATAGTCCAAGAGGGGAGATTCCAAATAGGATCCACTCTATCCAAACGATCCACTCCCTATCATAATTGCAATTTGCAATATTTGCCCATTAAATCCGACCACATGATCTTCTGATCCAAAAACTACTTTCACAAAATCAGTCAAGGGATCTTACAATAAATTTACATTCTAATTGTGCTTTTCTTCATTACCATCATAGACATAAAATTTAGCAATTTGTAATTTACGTTTATAACCAGCATGTATGAAATACCATCTATTTTCCAATCTGTCTATTTGAATTAGACTGTATTCATTTGGGGCATTGTCATTGATATCATAAGTATTAAAACTCAATGAATCGGTTAACCCATAAGCACTTAATAACCTGTCTTTTAACTCAATCTTCCCCTCAGTCAACTCTTCATTTGTAGTCATTCTGAATATCTGAAATTGCTCTGGTTTTCGATATCTCCTTTCAGGGTAAGTGGAACTAAACTTACACCAAAATGATACAGCATATTCACTCATTGAATCCACCTCATTGAATGTAAAACTCTAGGAATCCTCTACATTATCAAGTTCCTTTATAATCTTTGGCAATTATCTATTACCTGCAATAAAGGATGATAATTTCAAGAAGTTATCATCAGTAAAACTCCCCTGTCCCAAAGTCAATTTAACGTGTGATATCATTGTGCTTGAATGTTAGTCATTGAAATCTTTCATCAAATAAAGCCATATTTATTCACTCACCGCATGAATTGTATTGTCTTAATGTTATTAGCAAATGTAATCATCTATTTTCAAATATGTTATCATCTTCTATTCTTTTTTGGAATAACTTTAATATGAGAATGCCCACATGTTATAATGATATAACTCTATTTTGCATTATTAACTAATTAAGGTGTTTACTTCATCCATATTTAATAGACTATATGTACTATATTCAACATTCTCCGTTTGAGTAGACAAATGGAATACTCGATCTCCCAGATATTTTCTATCAGTTAAATGTTCATTTTAGGTAACTCTATATATAAATTAATCTTAGCTCATCTTAAACCACAATTGTATTGAATATTAATTAGCACTTCCCTCTATATGTATTGGATTATCTCCACTATAATTATCAGTCCTGTCTTCCACAATAGTAATTACATTATCAATATAAATTTGTGCTGGTTTTCTATTAAGTTTAGTTATCATCTGTTTAAGTTATTCCTCGTTTATCAAAGCTCCGGTTCCTAAATACAATCTGATTCCAGTTATTAAACCATTAAATTGTATATAATTTTTGGATGCTCTTCCAATCTAAAAATTGAGGTGATCTCTAATCAAAGGATGTAAAACATTTTGTTTAATCTATCTAATACCATTATAATCAACTATGTATCCTACAGTCTCACCAACATCTTATTGCTATCTTTAATAAGCATAATAAACGAATATCCATTCACTCTCATGATAGGCTGTGTAATCTATTTATTCTGAACCTTCTAAAGTGATGAATTAATAGTTCCCAACATTCATGACTACACTCAAGAGATGATCTATCGATTATAAGGATAATCTAGCTATGCCCATCAACTTAGGCTTCATTAAACTGATGTTACTAGCATAATGTTTAAATTGAATCCATAAACCATATCCATATTC